GATCGTAGCCTCCCGTATAACCGTAGCCACCGTTACAGCCTAAAAAACTACCTATACGCTAGCCTATTTAACCCTAATTAGCTATTCCCTCTATAATAGGCTTATTAGCATAGTAGGTTAGAAGTCTATTATTAGGGATAACCTATACGGGTTAGTTAGTATTCTATTCGGTACTAGCCACGGATATCTCCCCGAGTTACTCCGGGCGGACTATTCCCTATTAGACTTAATACTATAGTGATAGTCGACGGTTCTTAATTTAGGCCTCGATATCACGTATAAATTCGTCTAGGTGTAAGAGATTATCGGGGCGCCAGTAGATTTCTCTTAGGGTAGGGTCGATCCGGTTCTAAATCTCCTATTAAATATTAAGATTCGTGCGAGTAGTGGCTCCTAAAGCCCGATAGAGCCTTACAAGTTAGTTTACCTATTCCACGAAAGGGCGGCTATCTAGAATATCCCGGGCAGTGAATTTTAGGTTTACTATCTTAGCCGCTACGGTTTTAGGATTAACCTGCTAGCGCCGACGAAAAGTGGTAAATAGGGTATTAAGATCACGCCGGATCTCTACCCACTAAATAGCGTCGAGGCTTATAAGCCACTAGCTGCCGGCTACGCCCTTAAATAAGGAGTAGAGATTAAGCCGGACTTCTTCCCTTAGCTTAGGAGTATTAGCCTAGTCTTTAGCGCTCTTAATAAATAAACTAATATTATACTAGTGTATAGCATCGCCGATATATAACTATATATTGTAGGGATTACTATTATTATTTATAGGGGGATTAAAAAACCTAATAGATATAAGCTTTTTACGAAAACTATAACGGTCGTTACCGGTAGAATTCCCGGTAAGCTATTACTTCGTAAAGAAAGATATTATATTTTTAAACTAGTTAGAGGATAGTATACTAGGTGGAGGGAGAGAAGTAGTAGGAGGAGGGGCCGGTCTTAATACTTAGTTCTATAGAGCGGGTATAGGTCCTTACGGAGCAGGAGTCTATTATCCGTTCTAACCGGCGTTAGCTATATTAGTATTTATCCTGGTTAGTTCCGGGGCGGGTAATATATCCTACGAGGATTACTGGATAGTTATGAAAACACTTATCGGAAAAGATCCTGGTAAAGGAGGGTTAAAAAATAATAATCGGCGAGATAGGGGCATCGATATTAGCGTATATAATTACTATAGGGGTGGTGTAGGTGCGGGCTAAAAGAATTAGGGAAGTATAACTGATTAAGGTGTAGTTTATCGGCTAAATAGTAGCCTACGATTAGTTAGATTTAAAATAAAAGCTATCCGACTGGCTAGTATCTAACGCCTATATCTCTAGACGCCCTACGGGTTAATAGGTTAATTGAGTTAAGGGTTAAGACTATTCTGGCGAGAGTAGGCACGGCTTATTAGCTAGCTACGGTAGATATTAAGTCTGCGAAGTATTATCCGAAGCGTTACCTTAGCTGCCTAGTTATCGGTCACCTAAGTGGGAGGAAAGGATAGGTTAGGATCTATAGAGTTTCGGTTCCTCCTATCGGTCCTTACAGATTATAATGTCTATTGTTATTATTCTGCGAGTGCCTGTTCCTGTAGGAGTGAAGCTTCCTACTCGATAATAGGGATAGCTCCTGGTAGCAGATACTATACTTAAGTCTAGAGTGGGTTAGCCTTAATAAAATTATAGACCTGAAAAATCTCCTTTTCTGCTATGGATAACGGTTCTATCTAGGGTGGAAAAGGGTAATAGTATGGAAAAAAAATAGTCCGGTAAAACTATAAAACTATAGTAGTTATATCCGGTAGAATAAAACTTAAAAACTAATAGAGGTGGCGCTTACTAGTAGGAAACTACTAGCGAGGAAGGTGTAAGTTAAGTTAATAACGTTAACGAAAAGAGGAGTAGTAAGCGGTAGTCGAAAAGTGCGAAAACGGTAAGAGTGCGAAAATCCGTAGTCTACGTGGGAAAAACGTTCTAAGAGCGTTATTAATTAAGACGAATAGTTAGATATAAGATAGAGAAAGAAAAAGAGACGCTAGAGAAAATACGGAATGCTAGAGAGAAACTACGGGACTTAGCTATCTCGGCGTACTACCGGGTTATATTATATTAATTAGGGGCTCTGCCAGGGTTAACGGATATAATCGATTATCGAGTTTGCTAATAGGAGGCGTTCGCCTTTTAGGAATTGGCAGATTAAATAAAAGAAAAAATAGGGTATAGTATAGCGATGATCGGAAGTAATTAGTTGCTACTATTTGTTAGGCCGTAAATACGGCTATAGCGCGAAGCGTGTTAAGAAGATATAAGAACTAAAGATGGATTATAAGAGGAGTCGCGAGCTTAGAGAGCTCGCCTGTAGAGGTATACTAGATATACCTCGGCAGTCTCTTGACTAAGCTACTTATAACTAAGCTAAGAAACTATAGCACTCCGTGCCGTTAATCTACATACTGCCGAGCCAACGCATACAGCGTAGCAATAACAGAACACAGTGCTATGATACCCTTATAGCTACGGCTATAAGGCTCCTATTAAATAAAGGAGCGTAACTAATTCGGTAAGGAGATAGCTAGAAAAAAGACTATTAGGTTACTATATTTAAAGCTAGCCGCTACGCCCCTAATATATATATATTAAATAGGATTCCGCTAACTAAATTATGGTTAAAAAGGTCTACGTCTATAGCGTTATAGCGACGCTTAATAATACCCTACGAATCCACGGCCCCGGCGGTAACTACCGGAAGTATATCCCGGGAGGCTATCTCGGGAAATATAACCCTAGCGGTTACTTTAGCGGGTACTCTAGCGGTTACCCCGGCGGCTATAAAGATCCACCGTAAAGACCTCCCTTCTCCTCCGAAGAACCCTCGCGATATACCCTTATACCCTTACGGCTACTTATTCTGATAAGTATAAGAAGACTACCTACGGAGCCACGAGGAGATAGGGTCGTGGATACGGGTACCGGCGTCCGTAGTAGATAGATATCAGATTCTTAATTCGATATAAGTAAGAATATATAAGTTCGATAAGTATAGATTTCTATATAAATATAAGGTAAGGCTTATAGTATAAGGAGATTAGTAGTATTAATCCTCGCTTAAGGAGATATATATAGTAATACTAGCCGGACGGTTATTCCGCGCGTTAATAGCTATCGCCGCCCGATTTAACCTTACGCTATTATAATTTAATGTTATAAACGCGTTTATATACGCGCCCCTCCCCTACGATATCTTTATATACCCGCCGCTAGGCTTTTTAGCCCCTAGGAGTCGTTTATACCTAAACAAGACGTTATATAGACTTAAGGAGTCTTTACTGCTTTAGTAAAAGCCCTTTTCGGCTATCCTTTTAGCGGACGGCTTTTAGATAGTACCGTAAGAACTATATTATTTTCTACGCCGCGGTTTAATTCTATTCTTCTATATTAACGATATCGTTATTACTTATAAGGAATAATATAAGGCGTAGATAGAGTAGGCCGTTAATAACCTATAACGCTACTATACCCTATAAAGTGGCGATCCTTTATAGTGGTTCCTTAGTATTAAGGTTATTCGCGACCGCGCCGCCCGTAAAATCTAGCTATTATAACGCGATTACGTTACTAAATTAAAACGCCTTTTAGAGCTAAATAGTAAGTATAGTAGTAACTATCGCCTAATATACCTAATTAAGATCGTAGAACTACTGCCCTATTTAGGGACCTCGACGGACGTTAAAAGCTATTAACGGAAGATAGGATCTGTACTATACGTAGTAGTAATATCACGCCCTGATATCGTGTTTATAGTATTTAGGCTATACCGGTTCAAAGTTAATCTAGGGCTTATTCACTATAAGGCCGCCGATTATCTAATCCTTGATCTAATTAATAGCTAATTATTTACGTTAGAATTAGGGGGTAGCGATACTATCGAAATCTATACTAACGCCTCGTTTACCGATAATACCCTTAATCGAAAGAGTAGTTAAGCGTATATAATACGCTTATTTAGCGGTATAATAGCGTGGCGCGCTAATAAGCAGGATATAGTCACGATATCTATAATGGAAGTAGAGCTATTAGCGTTAGTATAAGGTGTAAAAAAGGGTATCTTTATATGACGCCTATTATTTAGTATAGGAGTGGAATTTAACGATCCGGAATTAAGGATCTTATACGATAATAACTAAACGATTCGATTAGTTAATTAAGAGATTAGCACGTTAATAACGCGCCTCCGCCACGTTAATATCCACGGCCACTAATTACGTTAAGTAAAGGAATAAGGGTAAATACTCATAACATACGTTACAAGCGCGGAAATAGTAGTAGACAGATTAACGAAGGCGTTATACGGCGAGAAATTTAAGATATTCAGGTCCTAGGTAGGCGTAATAGATATACGGGAACGGTTATAGCAGAAATAGCTAGAGGAAGTCCGGATAGAATATTTAGAGGACCTAGAGGATGAATTTAAGGGCGGATATAGCGAATAGATTATATAGCAAGATTATCTACCGATTACGAATAGCTTTAATCGCCTAACTAACGTTTTAGGGCGATTAGGGGGTATATCGAATAGACTACAGTCTTTTCGGTTACGTAATAGGCCGGATTACTAAGAGTATAATCCGGGTAGACGCTTACAGAATCTGCACTATATAAAATACGGTGGTAGCGTTTCCCTAACGGTCGGAGATAGTTATAATTATATATAATTACCTTAATCAAATTTTGACCTATTTTGTGACGATTTTGACTACGCTTTATCTGACAGTTACTGGGCCTCTGTTTTTAGGGATACAGTGACATAATTGGAAGTCACTGCCCCACATGCTAGTCAGGTGCGCCGCACAGTGCAATATACATCAGCGCAGGAGCAGCGGCCACTACTATAGGGTCACTGCTACAGTCTACACCCGACTTATGTACGGTATGTCTCCACTCTCCTACTCAATGGTTCCATCGTCGACGTTCTTGAACCTCTTCCGCTTCGTGTAATGAAGAGCGCCAAAGTTGCGTTACCAGCCCCAGGTCGGAGAACGTGCTCGAAACTTGACGGCAAGCTGGGTGAATACCTTAGACATCCCAACCGCCTTACGAGCTCCTAACGCTCCGAGAACCACTTCTCGGCCTCATCGCCTTCAAATATGACGGCAACCCCGACTCGGAGTGCTGCGATGTCATGGACGGCGACTTTCCGTGGCAAGAGGTCCTGCAGAAGAAAATGGAGGGCACTGCATTCCTCATATCTCCTACATTGAGCCGCCACTGCCTTGTGGAGGGATGACTCTATTGTGTGCTACTGGATTTTAACATTCTGGACACTACGAATACGCATCTCCCTCGGGGAGCAACCACTGACCCTATTTGCGACGGACAAAATCCCCAAGCTGGCCTGCAAAAGGCCATCGATCAACGCAAGATCTGCATTGCAACTTCCAATTCCTCAATCTCCTTCTTCAGCCTCTCCCTACGCTCCCTCGTCCGGCGAGATTCTCCCGCCACGGCACGCAGCTTCTCCGCGTCCAGGCCGAGGACCCATTGCTCCGAGAACAGACGAAGAGGGCTCTCAGGGCCGGAAAGAAGCTTGTAATCGACCGCCTGGCTGAAGACATTGTCGACAAACCGCTTGTAGGCTACCTTGTAGTAGGCCTCGAGGATGTCGTGGATGGTCTCCTTGGCGTGTTCTGCGTTGCTCTTGTTCGTGATTGCATCCTCAACATCGCCTAGCTTAACAACAAGGGGCCTCTTTTCGTCACCAGGGTACTCGCGTCGGGCCTTGGACTGCAGCGTTTGTTTGATCCGCACGCCGTGGCTCTTCTGTTGGTTCACGTTGAAGTAGTGATTCAGCGTGTACGGCTTCAGCTGCCTTTCGATGTGGACCAGCAAGATTGCCTGGTTCATGCAAGTCTCGTACTTAGCGCCGAGGTCACCCAAGACGGTGGATGAGAGGTCCTGCAACACCTGGGTGTCTACGCAGACGACCTCCAAGGCCGCCAGGACGAATCGATGGACGACGAGGATGACCAGGCTGAGGTATTGCTTCGTCATCATCTCCCATTTTGCCGACTGCTCCCGGAAAGCAGTGGAAAGAATGCCGTGGCCGAAAGTGCCTAGGTCAAGGCCACGAGAACGGTGGTAGACAGTGTCGATCCACTTCATGATGCCCGTCTTGGGCGATTGGACGGCCCAGTCCGTGACAATGATTCTGTCCAAGTCAGGGAAATCACCAGGATCAGGAATGCCAGGCATATCAAGATGTAGAATGCCATCGTCGTCATCCTTCGTATCCTCCTCATCCTCCTCCTCCTCAGTCGCAATGCCCGTCTTGGATTCGAAATGGTATGTGCGAGCAAAATTTTGAAAATTGACGTTGAACTGCTCCGTGGTGTTGATGACAGCTGTGATGAGCCGCAACTCGTCCCGTGAAAATGCCGGGTGTGCCGAATAATCTGCATCCAGGGCGGCGCGGACAATGGCCTGGAACTGGCTCGCGATACCCACCAGATATTGCTGCTGCTCGCGTTCTGTCTGCCGAGGGGTGCCGAGGTCCTTGAGCTTCTTCTCGGCATTTGCCAGTCTGTCGCGTGTCTCAGTCCGGAGCTTAGGGAACGCACGATCCGTGATCTCGCCCAATAAATCGCCCAGCCGTTCCCGTAGGGAGGCTATACCGACGCGATCGTCCGGAAGGCGATCCCACGGGTCTTCCAGGAACATGGTCTCACGCTCGCGTAGGGCGGCCGAGGCATCCTCCTCTTCGCCGTGGTCATCCCCGCCACGGTTCGTCACCACATGGTAACCGAGCTTGAGGGGCTTTCGCTTCCCTTCCAGCAAGCTCACCACGGCGGATTTGGCCGATAGTTCCTTCAACAGATCGGCCTTGGTCAAGATCCCGAGGGTCCGGTCGCCTGCCGCGTCGGCCTCTTCTGCAAGAGTCAGGATCTCCTGGGTGGCAACGTCGACGTTACTGGGCAGGACGGCGAGGATGATGGTCCGGTTATCTTTGATGTATCTCTTGACCATGTTCTTGACGAGTTCCTTGTCCCTGTTGGTGGTGACACCCTCGGTAGTGGTGCGAAAGATGCCGGGCACGTCGATGATGGTGAGGTAATCCTCGTCCGGACCGCATTTCTCGATCTTCAGCACATCCTCGGAAAAGGTGTTCTCGCCAGCTGGATTATCGATGGTCCTGATGCCCATCAGAGCGTTGATCTGATATCGATGTTAGATCCGACGCCCCTGATTTCCATAAGAGTTGACACAAGATAGTCGCAACATTGACTTACCTCTGTCAGGATGCTGGGAAACTCCTTGCCAAGCTGTGCCGTCGTCTCCAGCTGCTTGAGGTACGATTCGAGCTTCGTTTTGTGGTCTTGCACAGCATGTGGTCCAGCAATGATGCGGATGTCGATCTGTCGGTATGCCTCGCGGCGGTGGGTGATCTGGGTGGCATACCGGGTGCAAAGTTCCTGCCCGCGGGGGAACGGGATGCCCGTCAGGCTCTCCAGCAAAGATGACTTTCCGGAACTCTGATCTCCCACTGCCACGAGCTGTGGCAAGGGTAGATAAGCGCCTATGTTCCTCTCGCGGAGCTGATCGATCTTCTGGAGCCGACCGGGGCTCGTTAGGTGGAGGGAAGGCTGGTCACCAGGTTTGAGACCCATGGCGATGGACTGAATGGCAAAATAGGACGGGGGAAACTTGGAGTGATGAAGCAGGAGGTAACAGAAGACAAGACATGAGGGTAGAGAACGGCTTTATATATACGAAGTGCTAACTTATCGCCGGCTCCTAGGCGATGCGTTTGCAGCCCGGCCTTTCAGCTGAAAGCACTCAGCTTAGATGACGCATATCGGCGCAGCCAGACGTTACTTGTTACTTGAATCACTGGGTGATATTGATCTTCACTTGAGAGGGGGACAGGCAAACGGGGGGTGGGTAGGCAGTTGGTCGGCCTCCTGCAACCATGTCGCCGTTGGATTCCGCCAAATATGAGGATAGTTACAGGGACTAGGCGCACCAACTAGCAGTGCGGTTGGCTGAATGCGAGCTTGGGAATAAAGGTCAAAAATCGTTGTTTGATCAGAGGCAGATTCTCATAACACCAGGCTTCATTCAGGAAACATTACGCATCCACCCAGGACGGAGCTGCGCAAGACAGATGAACATCCATCGCAGTACAGTCCTCCCTTCCACTTCCGGTCTTTAAGCAGATCACTGCAACATGGCACCCTGCTTCTCCCTTGCTGGCAAACGGCGCCCCGATAACCTTTAACACCGGTGCCATAAGTTCATGGTGTGGATCGAAGTACGAGAGTAAAACAAAAAGTGACAGTATTGTACGGAGTTTCCAGTCGTCAGCTGCCCAGTTTCTGGCTCAGGCTTCAGCTGCGAGTTGGACCATGGAACAAAACATGGAGCGGCTCGCACCCGCAGGCGTAGAGAAGCCCGCACACCCCGACAGCAGCAACAGTCCGCGCCATAATCATCATCAGGACCACGGGACTGTACGCACGGCCTCGTTTCTATTCCACAAAGTTAGCCGAGAGCCATATCTACCTAGATTCCCCAAGCCGCCTGCATCAAGCAGATTACCACGCTACAATCCTTATGCATGCTGTGATACCAGTTTCCCTGGACCATACCAATTCACATTCCCGACCAAGTGATTCTCTATTCGCATCACAGAGCCCAGGCTACCCAAGAAGCGAGGCATCCTCTTCTTCGCCACCCCAGACAAGCCAGAGTAAACAATGAAAAGGGGAAATGCGGGTTCGCGTCGCCTGGAGACGGTGTAATACCAGGGACACTGTGGGCAGTGCCATGTGCAAGCACAGAGGGCCCTCCCCTACAACCAAAAATAAGATTAATCACGAAGTGTCTCCTTTGGAGACGTTTCAGAGATTAAACTGAAAAGAACAGATACTACACTTGATCTAAGCCAAAAGGCTGCAGAGGAACCTGTTAGCAGACGTGTTCGAGAGAAGACGGAGATGGGCTGGTGGCGCTTGGGGATCGGGGTCAACGTACCAAAGAGAGCTAAAGAAGAAAAGAAGAAAAGAAGAAGAAGGATACAATGGGAGGAGGTGGACGGGTTTATATAGAGGAATCTGGGGTCTGTGCACTTCTGACAAACAGCCGCACGTTTGGCAGTACCTAGGAAAGGTAGCCACGGATGAGGTACCTTACGCACCGGCCACTCCTATCATTAAGGTAGGTAGGTACTGTAAAAATACCAGCCTCGCTCGTGCCTGCCTGACTGCTGCCTGCCCGTTTTTGACTTGCGAGAGGGAAGGTGTTGTGTTGAGGACTGCTGCCTGCCCAGAAGGAAACTAGAGCATCTACGGAGTAGGTATGACGTCGCTCCTCATTTTGGTTTCTCGAACCATCAATGGACACTCCAAAGGAGAAGGCGTCAAGTATCTACTCCGTACGAAGATATATCCACCCCCTTGAATATGTTGCGTGGCTGCCTGCAGGCACCACCTGGTCTATATTAGCCCTCCACAGCTTCCCTTCTGGGCTGGGATATTCTTCCTCCTACATCTACACATATACACACTTTTCCCACACATCACTGTTCGACCTTCGATAGAATACACTAATTCACATGCTTTGAGGCAACGTCGACTTGTAATGTCGCGGACGGCCAGAAGGTTTCGATTGTTCTTAGAAGCACTACAGGATCTTCAGACGGAGTCTCTAACCAGTTCAATCACATGTCCATTGTGGGAGACAGTGGCGAGATTCGCAGCGGGACCGTTGAAACTCGTTTCTCGTTGCGATGATCTTGGGATAGAACTTAAGGTACTTGTGAACCGAAGTCAGTACCTCAACTCGCGAAGAGGAGAGCAATCGACCCGGTGACCACTGAGGTTGTGCTGGCCAGCAAGGACGGAACCGCAACAGAAGGGAGCTCACAACGCTATGCCGTTCTGCCAAACAGGCTGGCTTGTGTACTTTGCATTGTTGTCCGTACTCCGTACACCTGGTGGTGTGTCGTTGACCCGAGGTGAACGGCGTACAGAGTTAAGGTATGAGGTACTTGTATTAAGATACGGATAAGGTACAGGTACGGGGACATGTCGGGATATCGGAAGGTGACCAATCTACCAGTGGACTCGCTCCTTTGGGCGCGGAATGACGGAGGATTTGCAGGCTTGGCAAATATCCAAATAGAGAGGAACTTATTAAAGTTGTATATTAGCATACTATAATTCTTATGAAGTTACTTCCAGATGGGTATCATACTAGCTCTCGATTGGGGGTCGCGCCATCATCCATCCCTTTCCTGCCAGCTTGCCTCTTAGAAGACTGTCTACCACCTTACCTTGCTTTTCTATCCCGTCAAACCCGTCCAACTTCGTCCAACCTGTCCAACTTCACATCGTATCCCCCACGCCTCTATCTGTCATGGCGCTTTGTTCTTGGGGCTCTCTGTAGATTTGCTGCGTGTGCTTTTCATTATACATGTACGTTGTTTGTTCTATCTTTCTACCCCTGCTCCGAGAACACGCGCTCATCGCGTTTTTTTTATTCTGCCCCTATCTTTGCCCCGTCCAATCTCGTTTGCTAACGTGTCGACCATATCCAGTTCATTCCCTTCATTTCGAGATCCCGAGACACCAAGATACTTAATATTTCGTCAACATGAGCATTGACGAACAGAATTCGTCGTGGCACCCGGCCCTGATGCCTAATAATGCCGTCGACTCGCTCCCTGCCGATCCCGATCCCCATCCCGATCCCCATCCCCAGACCAACACCGAGCCACTCTCCACTGATCCTATTCAGGACGGATCCCCACAGACTTTCGATGCCTCGACAGAAGCACAGTCCCAAGGGGAAGCACTCGACACAAACACGGGAAATTCCAATGCCTGGTTTACTGACGAGCCTACCGATGACTGGCCTGTCCTGGATGATTCGAACTCTGTCCCTGCCGCTTCCACCTTGCCTGGGGCCGAGCAACCATCAGAAGAATCCGCTGCTCCCATAAAACCATCAGACGCTATCGGCGCTCCGAAGCCTGAGGGCCAGGTCCAGACGCAGTCAAGGACTGATGCGACCGCGGAAGATCAATCTCAGCCGGAAGCTCAGCCGGAGGTTTCGGCAGCCGGCCCTGCCTTGGGCCACTCCAGTACCGTCTCATTCGCTCGAACCGTTTCCCATGAAGTCAGCTTCAACGATGAGGATGACCCAGAGTGGAACCTGTCACGCACCGACACCGACCCTTTCAAGTTCATGCCACCTTCCGACCGAACCAACTCATTTCCTGCCGTCCCGCCTATGGACTCAACGGATACTCCCCTGGATGACCAGCCGCTACCTTCGAGCCAGGCTCATGATATGATCCGAGAGCTGGAGACCGATGGTCGCCAATCTGGAGACACGGCTCCAGAGTTCAACGCGTCAAGTACCGCGGATGAACAACCTGGCTCGCATGATGCGCCAACGATCAATGGGCCCCAGTATTTCGGCCGCGGCACCACAGACACTAATGAGGACGAGTTAGGGTCACGTTTCGAGGAAGGCATTCCGCTCATTCCTCGGGAAGCAACCGATGAGAAACACCAGGACAACGCCCAGGCCGCCACCGATGCTGGTGTCTTGTTTGGAGATGAAACGGAAGGCGACGACGACTTCTTCAGCCAGATGCAGACTTCTTCCACCAAACAGGCTCACCCAGATGCGGACGATGGTTTCACTTTGCAGCGCAAGTCAACCATGCAAGTCATCAATGCACTCGGGGCAAGTCCAATGCCTACGGCAGATACCTTGGATGACATGCCCGAGGCGGCGGAGGAGGAGGAGGAGGAGGAGGAGGAGCGCCACAAGAATGACCGCTCCACGGACGCTCAGATGTCCACCGGGGGAAGAGGCTTGGGAATCACCATGTCAGCACAAGAGCAGTCCGCCGCCGATCAAGCCCCCACGAATCAGACAGGCAATGGTGACGACTTGGCTGCCAAATGGCAGGCCGCCCTCGCTGCCGACGACGATGACGATGATTTTCTCATTGACGAGACGCCCGTCGACTCGGAGGCCATTAATCCCACTGCCTTCTTGGGTAGCGACGATGAGGGTCTGCTTGAGGATGACGATGACCAGCCCTCTTCAACAGTTCAGCCATCGTTGCAACCAGCTCCGGCCACCGCCTCGGTAGCTACCGCGCCATTGAATCATTTCCCTGCGCGCTATACCCCTGCTGCTCCGTCACCGAACGCTGTTTCGCAATCTACCTATGTTCCCAGCCCTCAGCCATCGCCTATGACCATGTTCTCTCCCTCAACACCCGCATCAGGCTTTACCCCAACAACGTCTCCATACGCCATGCAGCCGCCGCACCCACCAGCTCAGGCCGCCTACCGCGCGCCACAAGCTCGTCCCGAGGCCCCGAAGGCCCAGAGCTTTGTCGACAAGTCCAAGGGCGGGTACACGTCGCCATACGACTTGCCCATGGAGGTGGTGAAACCCCGGAAGCGTGCTAGCATGCAGCATCTCCCCAGGAGCATTCAGACCTCCTCTCCACCAGGGCCGACGTCGCTACCTCCGAGGAGCTCTAGTATGCAAACCCAGATGTCGCCGGTACCAGGCCCTCCCCCAGTAGTAGGCCACGCCGGCGAGACACCTCCCGTGGCCCAGAAGCCGACCGCACCGCCTCCAAAGCAGAAAGAGAATTTCTTCGAGGATCTCCCGGTGACGTCGAGGCCGCGGCCAAGCTCACGCCAGAGTAATCGTTTGCCCTCACCCTCCCAGATCAGTGGTCCTCCTGGTCCTATCTCCATCTCCACGTCATTGCCTTCGTCGGCCTCGGAACCCAATTTTGCCATAGACTCTCCAAAGCATGATGCTCCTAGCATTTCGCGGCCTAGCTCCACTGGACTTCCCAACTTGGTTGCACCCCCGCGTGTCAGCCCCTATGCGTCTTTGCCGTCGGCTCCGCAACCATCCCCTGGCATGCAGAGCAATAGTAGATATTCTCCCGCCCCCGCCCAAGGACCCCTTGCGAATGGGACAGCACGTCCGGGTTCGTCCAGCAGATACTCGCCGGCGCCCACCGGCTCACGGCCACCCTCGGCATCATACAGCTCGGCACCTGCCCCCGCGGTCTTGCCACATCAACCGCGGACTTCTAGTCCTTTGGCGCACTTCGAGATATCTCATGAGAGGGCCCAGTCGGCGCCACTTCCCAACGGCGAACACTCACCACAGGATCGCCGGTTCGGTTCACATCACGAGCCGCGGCTCCAGCGTGTTCCATCTCTGCCACCGACTCATGAGGTTGAAGAAGAGGAGGACTTGAAGGACCCGCAACCTCCTCCACCCAGCGGTGGCCGGTATACCCCTGTCACGGCTTCGACAGAGTCCAAGTACGCCTCGGCATCCCCTCTCGCCGGGCGCCATACACCACCTCCTTCTCTCCGTCCTTCGTCTTCTCATGCAATGCTTTCGCCTCCCAAGCGAGCCTCGTCTAACTACGCACCGCAGCCGACCGGCCTCTCACCAGACCAAGGATTTGCTCCGCCTCGGAGGTCGCAGACCCAGTCTCCGAGTGCGATGTTGGGGAACCGCACCGAGGCGCAAGCTAGTGAGACTGTGGTCCGGCCATCTTCTATGCATGGACCTGCGACTTCTTCTCAGCCCTCCCCGTCTGCCCACGGTGCCTATGCGGCGGTGGCGTCGCGATCGAGAGGACGCCCGCGTGGGACGTCACAAAGTTTCAGCATGATTGCGCCCACGGACGGGCGTGAGAATGATCCACTGCAGAGATGGAAAGGTGCACCTCTCTTTTCGTGGGGCGTTGGCGGGACGCTTGTCACGTCTTTCCCCAAGGATGTGCCTCGCTACGGCATGGGCCAAGCGGCGCCCATGATTGTGCGTACACCCGGCGAAGTGCGAATCCAAAGCATCAAAGACGTCCAACCGCTCGAGGAGACACTCGCGAAGTTCCCCGGCCCGCTCAAGGGCAAGTCGAAGAAGAAGGAGACGATCGCTTGGCTGACAGCCGGGATCGAGGCGTTGGAAAAGAGCCTACCGGACCACTCATTCCAGACGCAGACGCACCTCTCCCACGAAGACAAGCGGGCCGCAGAAAGGGTGCTCCTGTGGAAAATCCTCGCAATCTTCATCGAATACGATGGCGCCCTCGAGGGAAACCCGCAGGTGGAGAAGGCCGTGCGAGATGTCCTCTCTCTCGATCTTCCGAGTGAGCCCAGCGAGGCGGCACCCCTTTACGGAAGTGGCGCCGTCTTGGATACGTCGGCTGCCACGAAAATGCAGGCGGAGGCTGTGGATTCTGGGGCAGTAGAGCAGATTCGCAAGCATCTGCTAGCTGGCGAACGCGAAAAGGCAGCCTGGGCTGCTGCGGACAAGAGGCTGTGGGGGCACGCCATGCTCATCTCCAACACGGTGTCTCCCGATCTCTACAAGAAGGTTGCGCAGGAGTTTATCCGCAAGGAGGTCAACTATCCGGGCCACAACAACGAGTCGATTGCGACGTTGTACAACATCTTCGCCGGTAACCACGAGGAGTGTGTTGACGAGCTTGTCCCCAGCCATGCCCGGGCAGGACTTCACCTCGTGAACACCACGTCGACGACGAGCACGGCGAAGGATGCACTGGACGGCCTGGACAAGTGGCGCGAGACGCTGGGACTGGTGCTGAGTAACCGGAGCGCCGACGATATCCGAGCATTGAACGCCTTGGGTAACCTCCTGTCGACCTACGGCAGAGCGGAAGCGGCCCATGTGTGCTTCCTGTTTGCTCGGAAGGCCACCGTTTTCGGCGGCCTGGACGATCCGACAGCCAGCTTCGTCCTCCTGGGAGCGGATCACCGGACGCAAGCCGAACAGTTCGCGAAGGATACGGAGGCGTTGTTGCTCAGTGAAGTGTACGAGTATGGGTTGTCACTGGGCAGCGGCAGCATGTCGACGGGCGTACCGCACCTAGCGGCTTACAAGCTGCAACACGCGGTGGTGCTGGCGGAGCACGGGTTCCGCGACAAGGCGCTGCAGTACTGCGAAGCCATTGCGGCATCGACGGTGGCACAGACTAAAAGATCGCCCTACCACCACGCGCTTCTGGAGGCGGCTGTTGATGATCTCACCAAGAGGCTCAAGCAAGCGCCGAAAGAGGAGTCGTCGTCTTGGATCTCCAAGCCGAGCATGAACAAGGTCTCGGACAGCATGTGGAACCGGTTCAACAAGTTCGTGGCGGGCGACGAGGCGGAAGGCGCGGCGGCCGGGGCGCAAGGGGAGAATGGCGTCGAGACTGGCCCGTTCGCGCGCATTGCGGGCGGGACGCCCACGATCAGCCCGTCGCCGTCCATGTCGAATTTCGATGTGTATGCGACTAGCCGCCCCATTCCCATTCCCATTTCCACTGCATCTGCACCTCCCCCTGTCCCAGCGACGAGGGCAGCGTCGCGGTATGCGCCGATGGCTGGGCAGGCGGCGGCTTCCTCGGGGTCTCACGAGTCGGGCTCACCCTACACCCCATACACACCGCACGCGCCGGCGCCGCGGTCGTCAATGGAGTCGCAACCAGGGCACGGTGCTGGAAACTATGCGCCGCAGCAATATACACCTCAGGGCGCCGGCACCCTACCGTCCCAGGCGCAGTCAGCGACGGCACCGGCTACCGGGGCTGAGGCTGAACAACCCAATGGGAGCGCTCTGGCGCCCTCGCCGTATGGACCTTATGGTTCCCAGCAACCTCCTACAGCCGCTTCTGCGGGGACATTCGTTCCTGCCGAGCCAAACGGAGAGAGCGAGCCTACCCAGGGCTTCCAGCCGTTGTCGAGCGGTTATGAACCCCCCTCAATGGTCCCCAGTGAGGTGCGCGAGTCGCAGCAAACCGAAGAATCGGGGACTGCAGGAGGGTTTGAACCGCCGTCGTACCAGCCTTATGGCTACGAACCACCGTCGTATGAGCCGTACACCGAGCCGTCGAACGAAGAGGGCGAGGACGGCGGCGAGGCGAAGCGCAAGAAGAAGAGCATTATGGATGATGACGACGATGGCATTCCGGCGCTCCGAGCGCAGGCAAAGACGAAGGAGGAGAAAGATAGAGAAAACGAAGAAATGTTCCGGAAGGCGGCCGAGGAGGACGGTAAGCATGGTTCGAACACCCAAGGCTACCTGGGTTACGACTTGAAAGGAACGACATCACTGACATTAAATTCATCATTACAGCCAAGCGAGCGGCGCAGCAACAGTCGGCCAAGAAGGGATGGGGATTCACGAGCTGGTTTGGGGGCAAGAAGGAAGCGTCAGCGGACCTGCAGCAGGCCAACAAGCCGATCAAGGCGAAGCTGGGAGAGGCCAGCAGCTTCGTGTATGATCCCGAGCTCAAGCGCTGGGTCAATAAGAAGGCCGGAGCGGACCAGAACCAGGCGCGGACGGAGACGCCACCGCCGCCCAGGTCGGGGTCCAGATCGCATGCGAACACGCCTTCTCCCCCGCCGGCGGGAGGGGCGGCATCAGCACCGCCCATGACGGGAAGGCCACCACGACCGCCGATGACACCGGCTGGATCGAACGGTGGCAAGGCGCCGTCACAGCAGGAAAGGCCCTCTTCGCAAGGAAGTCTCGGACCGCCGGGTGGACCTCCTCCCTTCATGGCACGTTCGGTATCCAACCACAGCGTAGGTGGGCCGCCGAGCGGACCGCCGAGTCGGCCGACGACCAGCATGAGCAACGCGAGTAGTATCGATGACCTCCTGGGGCCGGCTGTCCCTCGCAAGGCTGGAGCGAAGAAGGCGAGGAAGAGCGGTCGTTATGTAGACGTAATGGCTAAGTAAGAAGAGAGCAAGACGAAAAGGGAGGCTTGGTCGGTTTTCTTGACTTGTACGATGTATATATTATTCTTTTTCCTTTTTTTTCTCTTTTTCCTTCTTCGTGTTCATCCTCTTCGGCGCTGCTGTGGCCTTGCTTGAAGACAAGGGGACATGTCGCATGCATTCATTCTCTCTATCTGGTCGGCTTTCAACAGGACGACATTAGCAGAGACGGTATTGTACTATACTTAGCAGTTTTTTTGTGTATTCTGTCTGATACAGTTATCATCTTGCTTGTTCTTTGCTTATTCTTCTTGCCTCGCGTCAATGGCTGTTGTAGGCTTTCCCTCTATGTCAGCGAGTTTGTTTACGAGTTTGTTTGTTGCTGCTGCCTAAATATAATTAGTGGCTCAGTATCCGTATTAGTTTACGTAACTTGGTCCGGAGGCCGCCGGAGGTGGTGCGAGCTATGTGGTATGTGGTGATTACTTACTCCGTAGGTACATGCTCCGTAGTTCAGAGTCTTTAAACTCCTGAAACGACTCGTTGGTTAGGCGTGGTTGATGCTATATCCATAGTAGAGCGTACCTTATATGCCTACCTACTGCAGTGGACAACAATAACGTAATGTCGGTATATTTCGAAGGACAATTGCTTCGAACCTTTTGTGGGATTGCTTCTGTGGAACTAGTGCCAAAGTAGTTGACGGTTGACGGTTGACGGTTGACGGTTGACCTTTACCTTTTTTCTTAAAGGGTAAGGTAGTAACAGGCATTACCGTACATTGCCGTATAGATAGATGGAGTAGCAGTCTTGTCCATAGCGCGTCACCCGTCTACAACGGAGTGAACAGTCCTTAATCGGGCGACGTAGTGCGTTACGTATGCATACCCCGCCCCCACCATCCCTTCTACCCCCCCTAAGGTAGGTATGGTTCTTGACCATTTGGTGACGTTACCACATTGCGGGCAGGTCATCTGTACTTCTAGAGAGAAGTGTAAGAAGTCTACTCGACAGTACCCAGGTACGAAAAGTTACATTCGCAACCCGCGTCACATGTTCTTTGTAACTCGACATCATCTTCCCGCCTCTCGTGACTGTCACATTTATCACTAAACTTCCTCCCTTCCATGCTTCTTCATCCTGTCGCCGTCCCGGACACGTTTTCATACCTTACCCAAAACCAACACCGCTTCCGTCCACCGGCTGGCTCTGTTGCCAGCTTCAACGAGCAATGACCTCACCCCCGCTGCCCGCCCAGCAGCCACAGCAGCGATCTGCTTCCCCCAACGGGAGCTTCTACGCGTTGAGCGATGACGATGAGGGCGAGTACAACACTGTCACCCACGCCGAGACGGGACGTGGAGTGAAGCTCTTGTTTTCGAAAAGCAAGGTAAGAACAAGAAGAGGAGAACCATGAGAATGAATGAGAAGAATGAAAAGAACACGAAAACTTACTTGCCTCCGAGACTTGGGACCTCTCCCCAACCTTGACTTGACCACCACGCTGACCTTCCTTGCCACCCCATACCTCCAGGTCTACCTCCATCCAACGCCCTCCGCCAAGGACAATATCCCCGGCTACGTAGCTCTACTACAGCAGAAAGGCCCTCGAGATGAAAGGCCAGTGTCACCCTTCTCACAGGCCGGGGAATCCGCGTCCCCCCGGTCGTCCGACCTTCTCCTGGCATGGGTCCCCGAGTCCTCCCTAGGAGCTGCCGAGAGCATTTACGTCAAAGTCGACCTTAGCGATGCCGACTCTCCCCCGAAACAATCCTACCTCGTGCCTCCTCCCCCGACCGTCACAACCCACCCCGGCTCGCTGGGCCATTACGCCTTTGCCATTCCCGTCAGCGCCATATACTCTCTCCTCGTCCGCCCCCCGAGCCTGGGCTGGTGGTACGGCTCTCTGATCCTCAATACGAGGGCCGGCGACAGCTTTCCCGCCTTGTTTTTCCACGACAACGAATGCCAGAGCACCATCCTCAAGCGGAAAAAGAGGGCCCGTGATACCTTCGACCCTTTCGGCGAGAAAGGAGAGATGTTCTGGGGTGGCGACGAGGTCCTGCGCTGGCTGCGTCGCTATGTTTCCATAGAACGCTCCGAGGCCGAGCCGAATATTTATCTCATCGAGCCGTCTCGTGAGGACAGTGTTGCCTTTGGTGGTAAGCCCACCGCCTCTCGCCGCGCCGACCTTAGCAGCAGCAGCAACGCCAACAGTAGTCGCCGTCGTGGTGACAGCGCCGCCAGTCCGGGCACCAAAGATGCGCAGATGGATCCTTTCGTCAAATTCGTCAAGGAGACCGGCTGGAACATCATGGAAAAATTCAGCAAGGTCACCACCCTCACGCGCCGCGCCGCCCAGGACGCCCTCCAGAACCCCAACCTCCCGCCGCAGGTGAGGCGGCTCCTGCGCAACCCGGAGGTGCAGACCATCCAGGAGGAGTTCGACAGCGCCAGGATCTATCTCGCCCGCTGGGCCATGGGCATCGCCGAGCAGGGCGAACGCGATCGTCGCCAGAGGATATGGACCGCTAAGGACGTCCTCGAACTCGAAGACACCGACGTCGGCGAGTTCGAACTCCTCGACGGAAGCAGCACCATGTCGCTCGAGGACAGGAGGCGTCCCGTCACCCTCAAGGAGTGGAACGGATTCTTCGACGAGACCACGGGCAGGCTTTCCGTCACCGTCGACGAAGTCAAGGCGAGGATTTTCCACGGGGGGCTGGACCCCAACGACGGCGTGCGGAAGGAGGCCTGGCTCTTCCTTCTCGGCGTCTATGACTGGTACAGCACTGCCGACGAGAGGAAAGCCCAGATCTCCTCTCTCCGGGATGCCTTTGTTAAGCTCAAGGCCGCCTGGTGGGAGAGGCTCGTCGATCACGGCGGCGAAGGTGAGGTTGGAGAATGGTGGAGAGAGCAGCGAGGGCGCATTGGTAAGTCTTTCTTTCTCTCCCGTATTTCGAGATACGCAAAAGGTCATTAGAGGGGATACGAAGGACATATCACTTACATTCGTCGCTGCACAGAAAAGGACGTACATCGAACGGACCGCAACGTGCCCATCTTCGCCGGCGAGGACGCACCCCATCCCGACCCGGACTCCCCCTTCTCCGAAGTCGGCACCAACGTCCACCTCGAGCAGATGAAGGACATGCTCCTCACCTATAACGAGTACAACAAGGACCTCGGCTACGTCCAAGGCATGTCGGACCTCCTCGCGCCCGTTTACGCAGTCATGCAGGACGATGCCGTTGCCTTTTGGGCCTTCCAGCGCTTCATGGACCGGATGGAGCGCAACTTCCTGCGGGACCAGTCTGGCATGCGCTCGCAGCTCCTCACTCTTGACCAGCTCGTCCAGTTTATGGATCCCAAGCTCTATAGACACCTGCAGTCCGCCGACAGCACCAACTTTTTCTTCTTCTTCCGCATGCTCTTGGTGTGGTTCAAACGCGAGTTCGCCTGGATGGACATTCTCCATCTGTGGGAGGTTCTCTGGACCGACTACCTGACCAGTAACTTCCACCTCTTCGTCGCCCTCGCCATTTTGGAGAAGCACCGCGACGTGATCATGGATCATCTCCAGCATTTTGACGAAGTGCTCAAGTACGGTATGTCAATAACTCTGTGTTGTCTTATCGACCTCTCCAATGCCAATAGCTAATGCTAACAACCTGCAGTAAATGAGCTATCCAATACAATCGACCTCGACTCCACTCTGATCCGCGCCGAGGCCCTGTTCCGCCGGTTCCAGCGCCTGGTTGAAGCCATCGACAAGAAGGGCAATTTTCCACCACCTAAACCTCTCAAGAGCCCCGAGCCGGCCAAGGTCCGTTCCGGCTCGTCCTCGCCTGGTCCTGCAACCCCAAACCACATCCGTGATGCCTCAACGTCATCTCCGCCGCAGAGGCCCGGGGCGAACAAGGGCAAAGGCCCAGCTCCAAGGGAAGAGGAGGAGCCGCAGAAAATCATCACGCCCGAGCTGAGACAACTGCTGAGCCGTAAAGTCGAGGTTCTGCCCCGAAAGGTCGTCGCAGACAAAGGGGACGGAACGCCGCACTAAGCGGAGGTCTTGAAAAGAAAAGGCCGCACACCCCGGTGGCATGAGGGAAATCTTGGATTTTCAGAGTCTAGCGAAACTCTTTGTGAAGATAAGGGCGTTGGAGGAGGATCTCACGGGAGTAAAACGGATCGCAGAGCAGGTTTGGCGTACCGGATTGCTTTTCCTCCTTAACTGCGGACATTGTCTAATTTTTCGCGTGTTTGTCCAAGTCATTTACATCAGGTAAAGCCAAGTAGTCTTCTTCTATGACGGCCCTCGCTCGCCCTCGTGCTGGTCGCCAAGGGCGTTGCCCTATCGCCTTGTAGATACTCCGTACACGCTGTCCAACCACTTAAGCAAACAAGTGGGAGAGAAAGCTCAAATAGTTGACTACCAAAGAGATGCCACATCTCCTCATCTAGCTAGCCAGCATGCCAAATCTGACGTGGGTACAATGACCATGATCAGCCATGGATAAGTTCTTCTCTAATTACCTGGACACCCAAAAACGCCCACCAATCCTTTCCGAGGAAAGAAAAAAAGAAACCAAACAAAACCAAAATACATGCGACGTTGCCGCAGCAGATGCATTGGTCAGACTCCTAATCAGCAAAGATCCTAGGACCTGTTTCGTAGATTGCCAGGCACCGGGTTGCCTTCACTATAAGGTGGAGGCGCAGACGAAGGAACAAGGACGGGATGAGCACGCTGTCTATGAGCGAGGCCTTCCGATGGTGACGGTCTCTCTAAAGTCGATGGGGCGGGGGAGTTTGCCGTCACCCCCCACTGCTGTGTCTTGGCCACCATCTTGGCGAAGTACTGCTGAATGAACGATTCCCTACAAGTTCCTCTGTTAGCTGAAAGACGCCAGTCGAATGCCAGGGACATCATGGGGCCTGTTGCTCCCGCCAACGTACGTGTAATAACTGTGATCAGAGTTGTGGGATTCAACCAGGTTATGTGACAGCTCATGAGCCAGGACAACCCACCACCACACGGCCGCCTCGGCTTTCGCCTCGCCCTGACGGGAGCCGGCCAGCTTGTTGGCATGGAGTTGGAGGAAAAACCGCAAATTGCAAAATATGCTGCCGTTGCTGTTGAACGCGATCGTGCCGCCCACCTCATCGTAGAACATGTGAAGCGCCTGCGGCGACAGGGAGTAGACGTTTCCGACCTCGACCAGGAGCGCCGCAAATGCGTTTATGGCCCCGCTGTGGGTTCCCAGGAAGCGGGTTGGGTCAGCAGACACGTCCTTAGCGGCGTAGACCTTCATCCCGTTGGAAGCCTCAGCGACAAAGACGATGTTCTTAGCTGGCGTGCTGTCGCAGTAGGTGGCCTGCTCCTTGACCTCGTTGACACGCGGTGGGGAGAATAAGTGGTTCGAATCGTGCGGTCTCGTGGCCTGGATGGCGTTCAGGAGGTTCTGCCCCACCTTGGCCGGGCTCGTCACTCTACCATCATCCATGGGCTTGCGCTGGATGTTCGGGGATCCGCTGGGAGGTGTCGAGTGCTGGTCGTCTTCAGCCGATGCGCCAGGAAGTTGCGGTGGTTTCGGATGAGCATCATCGTCAGTGTCGAAGCCGAGTCGGCGGGTGATGTTGGAGAAGAAGCCGCCCGTGCCTCTCCTCCACGACTCGGTGCTCGGCGCCGGTTGGACATCCTCGGGGCTGTCGTTCCCAAAGGAGCCAGGCATAGCCGGCAGGGCCGGCCTCGGGGTCCTCGGAGCCTCTCGTGCCGCCTCGGCTGCCTTGGCCTCTCTGTCATTCCACTGTTCCTCCCTCTCCTGCATTTTACGCTGCTCGGCTTCTAACGCCTTGCGTCTCTCTTCTTCCGCGATCCTGGCCTGCGCAGCTTTGGCGCGCAAAATGCGATCGACGTTGTATCCTCTAGCCCGTAATCCAAGCAGATCCAAGGTCAAAAAGGGCTCAAAAAAGAGATACGCTTGCTGGTTGGGTCTGGCCAGCAAGAGCTGGCAGATCGCTTGGCCAACCTGGTACATGTCAGGACGGCCCTCGGCAGCCACGTACAGAACCCAGCCTGACTTCAAGTGCACACTGGCGGCCGACCTTTTCTCCAAATGTGACTGCCCGTGACTGCCTTTGAGCGTACGGCGGAGCGCTAGGGAGCGGACCACCTCGACCGTCATGTTCTTCTCCAGCCACTTCGAATCGTGCTTGATACTGTCACGCCGATAGTTGACATACTCGTGAAGGAAGATCTTGGAGCGCTCCAACACGTGCTTCCGCAATTCTGTAGCACTTCGCTGATCGTGAGCATGAGGCCCGATTCTGACTTCCTCCGACACGAGACTACTAAGAGTCTGGGCGCCTAGTGCTAGGTAGAAGTCCTCAAGGACTTCCTCCTCGGGGGCTACAATCAAGCGATCCCTGAAGAGCCTGTAGCTGATGATGTCGTCCAAAACAACGATGCGGTTGGCGGGGGCAAGTTGATATTGTTTAATAGGCTCCTCGTCCTCGTCCAGATCGACGAGCTTATCCTTCGACGGAGGAGAGGTGATGTCTTTGGAAGCGAGGAGAAACGGTGCAGACTTCATCTTCCGGAAAAGATCTCTGTCTTGTCTCAGGGTCGGTAGATTCTCGGCGAGGGACTTCAGCAAAGAGAGATACTTTTCTGGGCTCTGCAGGGTGCTCAGGAGGCGTGCAGGCTCACTGCAGGCAAGGTGCGCAATTTCCTCCTTTGTCGGCTCGGCTTTGGCTCCGCATTTGAAGAGAAACGTGTTCGCATTTTGGCCGAAATCTACGAAATCGAAAATGTCGCCGTATGTCGTAGAGCTTCCTAGGTAACATCGCTGCGGGCTGACGCGGGTAACCGATGTCGCCCGGGCCTCCGATTTCTCGTGTCCGTCCGGGACCTTCGACCGCTGCACCGGCACGATCGGAGCATCCTTGAGCCTGGCTAGTTGGCTTCCCCCAAGATCACCGAGGCGTCGCGCGAAATATTCGAAGAGCCTGGTGGCCATCCCGTGGTCTTGAGGCGGCCGTGCGAGCAAATGGGAGACGCATTCCGTAATAGGGGGATCCATGGCGACGCCGAATTTGTTTGCATGTCCACAGAGGTCGCGCCTGAGGATGTCGAATCCTAGGATGGCCGCGGCATCATTTGTGAAGCATGCAGATGGGGGGACCAGCTTCTTTTCATTCCCCTGTATCGGCAGGAAGGCCTTGGGACTCGTGGCAAGGTTGAAAGCCCCATACCCATTGATGTGATGGTTCGCAATGAAATAGGTCATTGCTTGGAGTCTCCGTTCCTCGTCGTTCCCAGCCATCATCTCCACCAGTTCGGGCGCCGAAGGGTATGGCCGTAAGCCAAGCTTCATGAGAAACTTGCCCTCTGCGCTGCTTGTCCTGAAGCTTCCTGGTGGGCCCGGCCACTGAAGCAGTGGTAGCCCCAGGGCTCTGAGTGTGTCTTTGGGCTCGAAGAGATCCGAGACTTTGTACAGCTGTTTAGTGCCTTTGGTCGGCTCCAGCCCCTTCGGGCCGGCTTCGGCGGGGCAAATCTGGGATGTCTTGAGTTTCTTCAGATCTGCGGCAGGTATATCATCCTGGACAGAGGCCAGGTACCTGATGAGCTCCATGTGGCTCCACCGCTGGCCCGCTTTCTCCGACGACGGGTTAAGGAGGCGGGTGAAGATGGTGTCGAGATCGACCGTCTTCCTGACCCCGATTGCGACCAGGAACTTTTCCTTCAAGTTGGCAGAGACCTCCAGGGTCGGGAGATCATCGAACAGCTTGACACTTGGGAAGAACGACTCGGTAGGCTTTTTCATGCCCATTTTCGTGGGCATGACGGTGTGTGCCTGTAAGAGCGTAACGACGGTGTTCCTCATGTTCGGATTCAGGTTATCCCATGCTTTCGACACAACCGTCAGCACTTGGACAGCGAACTTGGGCGTCTTGGTCATATTTTGACCGTCCGCCTTCTCGGAAGCGAAGGCCAGCAGAAATCGTAGCCAGGGCACTATTTCGAGGGGCTCCCAGCCCAGCGCCTTCAGCTCCCGAGCGCCGCACGTGCTGGTGAAGGCGTAAGGAATGGTGGTGGGCGGGACGGGGAGGGTTGCAGGAATTACGTTGGGGACCAAGTAGTTCGTGATAGACCCGACAGCGATGACTTGGCCTTGATCACCACCATCCCGGCTCACGCTAGCTACGGCGACGTCCAACAGACGTGCCTTGCTCGGGGGATCAAGCTCGCCGTTGAGAGACTTCTTTCCAGCCCAAAGAATGAAGTGGATTAGTTGGTCCTTATCGAGTGCCTTCGTGCCCAGTTCCTTGTGTACGTCATCCACGGTGATTGGGTTGATCAGACCGAAGTCAATGAGCTTCTTTACGAACGGGTCGTTCTTGAGCTGAGATGGGACGACAGGAATGCCGTCGACGAACTTGCTCATCTCCTCACTATCGATGCGGACCTGGGAGGTCGAAAGTACGCCGCGAGACGAGTAAACCTCGATGGACGCCGTCTTGAACGAGGTCCAGAAAGCTTCCTCGATTATCTGAGACACCTGGCCGCTCGGTGTCGAGTCGCCGAATGTGAAGGTTTTCAAGATGTGCAGAGCTTCGGGCATAAACGTGTCCACTTCCTTGTGTGTGATCTTTGCACCCGGCTGGACAGACCTGTGCAATTTAGAGTCGAGGTCGCCCATTTCGTTCATAAACGCCAGGCGGGCCACAATGCCGGTCGCCCGTAGCATCTCGATGTTCCAGGTTCTGACCCATCGAGCGTTCAGATCGATGGCCTCTCGCTCCACTGTCGGGATCACCGAGGGGGCAGAGACATGCATCCCTGCTCCTGTGGTCTGCGTGGTCGGGAACCCGATGAATATTCGGCCACCGGGCTTTTGGCTGGGTAAAACAGAAGCAAAGATGTCAATCGACTTGGACGTGGCGTCCGAGTTGGCGCTTTCCGATGCTTGGGTTTCGTCAAAGGAAGATGTGAGAATGGCGATCTTAGTCGTCTTGGGCGGCGGCTTTTTGGTGGCACGTTCTAGCTCGGTAGAAAAAGATGAGGACACCTTGGTGACGATAGAGGCCGCTGTTGCCCGGAGAAATATCGTCGACGTGGACTGTTTGGTCACGTCCTCCGCTATGGTTTCCTGGAGCGCCGCGTCGTCTTTGTTGGCTTTGCCTCGCAAGCCGGCGTGCGAAGCACTTGTGGTGAGCCGGGAGAAGAAGCTTCGCAGCGAGGGTACCTCGGCGCCCACGCCATACGGATCGGAATGTTTTGCCGAGGCGGTCTTTTGGGGCTTCCATCCGATAACGCCCATGAAGGAGGCATCGATCTGAGTACTGGTGCGGTCCACAGCCGCCACGGTCATCAGACCCTCTCTGGTTCTAGTCTCTAGGTTTCGCGGGATGGGTATGCTAGCGCTCGGGGACGACTTCTTCTGTAACGACACGACCCTCCAGTTATCTATCCAGAACTCGATTCGTTGAAGGGACACGAAGGTAAGACTCGTGGCAAGAAATTGGGAGACGGATAATAGGTTAGGCAGAGGGGTGGTCGTATTGCGGTAATCGAGGACGAAGGCCGTATCGGGACTGCGCTGATCGGGCGGTAAGGTTGTCTTCTTGGTGAAGAGGGCATTTCCCTTCCAGTAAAAGGCCATGGCCTCGTCTCCAGAGCTCACGAAGGGCTCTTCACAGTCAGAAAAGACGCTGTAGAACCCAACACCGAAGGCGCCGATCTTTGTCTCATCCGGGTTCCCCTCGGCAATTCTCTTGAGGCGGCCCCAGTCCGTCTTGGTGAACGGCTGACCATCGTTCTGCACGATAAGCCGCCGTAGGGTATGATGTGCTATCGTGTGTTTGAGTAGGTCGGATTCGCTCGGATTCGCAGGAAGGGCTACCGAGGTCGAAGGCATGGTTTCCCACTTGATCTTGGCGGTGGTGGCCTGGGCATCGGCGGCGTTCTGGATGAGTTCTCGCAGAGTTGTCCATTCCCCCGAGTAGCGGGCGAGCACTTTGTCTATCAAAGCACGAGTGTCGACAGTAACGGCTTCTTCATCCTCGCCATCCCGCAAAGCAGCGGCTCGCAGCCGAGAATAGTCCATGGTAGGAAGAGAGGCACTCCGTCGAGTCTGGAACTGGTCAGTGTGATGGATAGCAAAGCGTCCGTAAGCTCATGGCTTTCGTTGATCCGGTAATCGAAGGTCGTGGTCGGAGGGGGGAGCAGAGCGAGGTGGTAGGGAGCAAGTGGAATGGATACGAGAGGTTCCTAGGAGATAGATAGCGGTGTAGCCGTCAAGGCTGGTGATGTGTTCCCCTTTGCCAGGACCCAGAGATCAGAGCGGTCGTTCTCTTGCGGTTTCTAGTTCGCTGGCCCACGCAAAGAGGCGGAGTCGGAAAAGAGTTTAGCAGAAGGGCACGCAGAGCTGAAGATGACAGGCAGAGATCTATGAGTCTATGACGGAAACCGAATTAACTTTCGTCTTCTGCTTCAGGTCAGCATAACGAAACAGGACCATCAGGAGCCATGCGCACGCTATGAGCAAGGTACGAACCTTCTCAAGGGAAAAGAAGAGGGAAGTGAGGAAGTAAGGAAACAAGGGGGAAAAGAAAAAGGAGAGACGAAATATGAGGATATATAGGAGGTTATTATTAGAGGGAAAAGAAAAGAAAGCAAAAGAGACGGGAGGAAATTGTGATCTATGAGTTGATATAGTAAGGTAGGAAGGAGGTACCTTAGGTAGTCGAAGTAGCAGAGACGGAAAGTGTCAGAGACGGAAAGTGTAACCAGTTCTGAACCCAGCTTCTTGCTTCGCCTCGAGGATTGGACTTGCCTTTCCAGAATGGTCCGCGCGATTGCCCCCGCGAAGTCGCTGCCTTCAGCGTCCGATCTGCTGACGCAAGTACCTATTGTAAGTGTACGGATAGGTGCCTAGGCCCGCGCTAGGGGCCCCCTACCTTAGTGGGTAGGGTACCTTATTATAGGCTGACAGCCCCGTACTAGTGCTTCAAGTATCTATCTTACTAAGGTAAGGTATTGAAGCATTTCCATAACTTCCACATCGAACACGGTCAAACGCGTACAACTTCAACCATCTTCTTCCTTTTCCGTAACGCCTGTAAGAATCCCAAATCAACCGCCACCAACGTCTATGCCTTTGAATTCGTTCTATAAACATGTCTCGTCAGGACGCTGGACAATCATACATCGTAATCGCGGAGCGATGGGTAATTTTCCCCCGTGCTCACAGGAAGTATCGCAAATATTAGTCAGCCTCCCACAGAAGCATTTCTTACCTTTCGCCTCTGCGACAGAACGCTGGTAGCTTACCTTGGAATAATCATCACATGTTTTCTTCTATTTTTGCAGACCCCCAGTCCGTCCTAGTTCGTCCTCTCGACAGGACTTTGCGTACCTATCCGTGTTAGGCAAATTTAGGGTGCTTCGGACTCGTTGCGGACATTGTACTGACTGGCCCGTAACGACCAAACAACAAAAGAAAACATGGCAAAACCAAGTGCATCAAAGAAACAGAAAGGTGGCGTCATGTCTAAAATTCACATCACTGTCCATTCCGGGAAGCTGACCCGTCCTTCATTCAGAACTGTCAAGGCACTCGAGAGCCGCCCGGCGCGCCACCTCACCGAGCATCGACACAGACAAGTCTCTCAAAAACGTCAAGCCGCCGTCCCAGTCGGTCGACTACCGGCCAGCCGTCCTGCAGGCGCACCACGAATCCGGGATTACGAAAAAGTCCAAGCACGGTCGCAGAGCACTTCCGAGCAGCAAGTCGCTCAGGCGCCGCGGGAAGTACCTCGAGCGAGCCGAGGCCATCCTCGAACGGACGGCAGTCAAGATCGAAAAGAGCAAGGGACGATCACGCACCCTCCAGGGCAGGAGAAAGGGCTGGGATGAGGTGAACAAGAACGACGCCGTCAACGTGCGGCCCAAATTCCCGACAGAGGAGGATCTGGAGAATGAGAGCGAAGGCGATGCCGCGGACACCGGGGCGGTGAGTGCAGAAGCGCAGGGTTGGGAGACGGACGAGGAGATGGATGGTGCGGATGTCGAGGTCGGCCAGCAGAAACCGCCGACCGCGGCACCAGGAACTATTGCTGTTACGCAGTCTGATGATCTTGACAAAATTATATGATACCTTTTACTGTCAAAATGCTCGACGTGAGTGCTGAGCCAAAAGACCCCTCGATAAAGCCAAGTGGCTGTGACGTCCCTGGGAACGAGGTCTGGAAGCAGAAGAGCCTCACTCATCCAAATCCAACTTGGAAATACAATAAGTCCAGCAGTGACAGGTTTGTTTCATTTGTATTGACGCAACGCGAAACACTTCTTGCGTATCCGCGGCGACGTGATGCCCGCAAAAAAAAAAAAAAAAAAAAAAAAAAGAATTCTTACCGTTGGTGATAAGAAGAGTGGGGCCCTGGGAGTGGTGCGCTCTGACGTAAGCACGGACCGCACCGCTGGACGTGACATCCAAACCCGTGACAATGAGTCCTTCGACCTCGCGGAGTACCTTACCTAGGTAGGCACTTATTAAGCTCATTGCTTCGTACCTTTTTCCCAGAGCAACCTCCGTGACAGCAACGTACGAATTTTCCATTTTCGACAAACAACAAACTCCATTCACCATTCTCCATTCTCCATTCTCCATATCCCTATATACTTCCTACTTTCAGAACCGGATCCACTTCGGGATGAGAACGAACTCCCACGAGGGCAATATATCATGGCAAATCCCGAGCTCGCCATAGCCAAAGTCAACTTCAGCGCAGTCCTTTTCCGCAAGGACCCCACGCCCTTGACGAGGCCCGAGATTGAAGCCTTCCACACCCTCCTCACTGATACCATCACCCAATGCTCTCGTCCCAATGTCCAGGTTTGACTGCCCTTCGCCGCTCCAACCGGCCGCCCTCGCTCTACCTCTACCTTCCTGCCTGCGTGGCCTGCCTGTTGATGCGGCGCCTGTCTCGCCCATCCCTCGCTGCCCTCCTTCGCAGCAGCGCTTGTGACACACCGAAACTAAAACAGACTTGGATGTATTTCTCTTAGAACTGCAAGCAATGGATCCTCTCCCACCTGCTCCCGTCGTCGGCACGCGTCGGCGCCTTCGCCAAGTACCTGGTAGCCCTCTCCGGCTCTTTCGCCGGCGAGGCAGCCAAAGAGAAGTCGCCGAATTCTAGGCCCAAGCCCTCGCTCCGAAGGAGGCATCTACACCTCCTGTACCTACTCAACGATGTTCTCTACCAAACCGTTATTCGGGAGCGTGACGATGCTTGCGCCAAAACCCTGGAGTCGAGCCTCCCGACGCTGTTCCACAATGCTGCTGCGTTTCAACACGCTCCTAAGCATGCGAAGAAGCTTGAGAACCTGCTTGCCCTCTGGGAGGAACACCGATACTACCCGTCGGCCTTCCTCAACAAGCTGCGTGATACGATTCGCGAGGCGCTGTCCGGGGCGAACGCCTCCAAACTGGCGGCAAAGGAACAACAACAGCAAGATGGCGGTGCCGCCCAAACCACCAAGCCTAGCAACCGCCAAGTCCCCTTTGTGATCCCGGCTATGCACGGCGATCCGTCCATGCCGTGGTACGACATCCCAGCCGCCAACTGGCTGCCCCACCTCACACCCAACTCGACGAAGCCGATGCAGCCGGATATGATCAAGCCGCTCCAGCTAGCTCCCGGTCCGGCCGACAAGGCCCTCGCACAAGCGGTGAAGGATCTCCTCCGGGATGTCGAAAGAATCTACAGCAGGGGCCGCAAGCCAGAGGACGACCATGACGACGAGGACGTCCAGCACTCCACTTCCATCAGCGAGATGGGCGAGCGCGTCCTCTTCGACGAGATTACTGGCGAACTCATCGGCGGGGAGACGTACTACGGCTGGTCACGGGGATTTTGCGAGAAGATGAAGCAACGTGACCGGAAGAGCAAACACCAGACCGACGATCGTGATCGTGGCCGCAGCGCTCGCTCCCTGTCGAACAGGAGCAGGACCATTAGCAGAAGCAAGAGCAGGGGTAGCCGTTCGAGGTCTCCATCCCGCGCTGCTGCCGGCGGCCGATCCAGCCTCAGCGTCTCACCTCCAGCTTTCAAGCGACGCCGCCTCTTTCCCGGCTCCTCAGGGAGTCCCAGCCGAAGCCGGAGTATTACCCCTCCTCGGAAGAGCTATCGTCCACGCTCCTACAGCCGCTCGAGATCCCGGACACCGCGCCGTAAGGACGGGTCGCGGTCACGATCCCGTTCCGGGGACAGGACCAGAGACAGGTGCCGTTCCCGCTCGCCGACTCGCGGTCCCAAGTCACACCACAACAAGCCTCCGAGCGACTTTGACCATGACGGTCCATCTCGCTACAACAGCAATAGCGCCGCGCAGCATCCCCCTCAGCCATTTATGAACCCCCATCCTCCGTTCCCTCCCCATGCACCACCCATGGCCGGCGGTATGAACCCTTTCCACGGGCTTCCACCGCCGCCGCCTCCCCCGCAAGGCTACCAGGGAAGCTGGCCTCCCCCGCCTCCTCCCCCTCCACTGCCCATGGGAAGTCCGCCTCAAAATTGGTTTCCCCCTCCCCCCATCCCGCCTAACCCCACCGGCCCAGGCGGTCCTTATTCGGGTGGATGGCATCAACAGGGACCTCCTCCCCCACCGGCCCCTCCACCGCAGTATGGTCGTGGTGGACACGGACAATACCGTGGAGGGAGAGGTGGCTACGACCGTGGAGGACGTGGGTGGTAAAAAAAATAAAAAATAAAAATAAAAGGAAACTTCGAGTATGGCGGGAAAGCGTCGTGGAGCGGGGCGTGTTTATGAAGCTTTGTCCGACCAAGCATTCTTGCCATGGTGTGTAATTTAGCTAGAGGAAATGCGAGGCGTCGACATGACATGGCATCTGTCATGTAAGCTCAACATGAAACATGATTCACCATATATATCAAACCTTCGTTCAGCCTCTCTAACATGAGGCCTGCCATTACCGCTAGCGGCCACCCCAAGCCAGTCAAGGGCATAGCCAGATGGATACCCTTTTTTGTCCAGCCGTTATCGGCACGCCTCGTGGTTTTCCCGAGACTCCTTCTGTCGGTGGAAGAAAACAAGGGAAATCCCTAGATCTATCCGCTTCTCGGGCTAGATTACGTCTGTGTCCTCATTCACCGTCTACATAGAAGCTGCTCGTGAAAAGCTGAGAACCTCCCGGCCCTCGCAATTCCCAATGTCCCCACAAGCCATCCGTGTTCCGGACAGAGAGAAGGGCTGGGAAAGAAGAAGCCAAACGCAAGAATGTCCGCCCATGCAAACACGAAAATGGGCCCCTTAGAGGGGATGGGGGAAAGCCAGGACAAGAAGGAAGAGAAAAGAACTCGGGACATTCCTATGTATCCGCTATGCGCCTGGGACGGATAAAGAGCCATATCTTGCTCGCCTCGTCCTCGTTGGGAACAGGATAAGAAACCCCAAAGAATAAAATAGGAAGAAGGAAAAAAGAAGAAGAAGAAAAAATAAGGAGAAGAGAACAATTATCAGTTCCAGTGTCCTCCAATCTCCAGCTCCTTGACGTGAATCATGAAAGCCCCTTTTATTCATCCCCAACTGACCACTCCAAACAAGCAAGCAACGGAAGAAGTAGTGGCCTGAAACAAGATATCGCAGCCCAATTGGTCCCGACCTTTGGTCTTCTTTTCCCGGATCCTTTCACGGAGGTCAATGTGTTGACAAAGTCGCCGATTTCTCATATCGTCTCAAGCGAACACCAAATTTCCGGGGAAGAAAAGGGGGCGAAGCAAAGCACAGCCAGGCAAAGAGACCACGGGGACCCGTCCGCTTCGAGGTAGGCAAGCCACTGAAAGCTCCGTCTCTCCCACTTTAAAGGGTTGTTCCCATCCGGAGTCCCGTCATACTGTATTCATTCCATCGCAGCATCGTTTTGCACCCGCTTCTGCTAATATCGCGCGTTGGCAGTATGCGAAGCTAGAGACGAAACGCCCAACAGAACGGTTTCGGCGCCCTGCCTGAAAATCAAAGCAGACAAAAGTCGCCTCAAATTGCCGAGGGGTGTTGCGTGGATTTGCGCACCCTAAAGCCCAACAACCGCAGGGGGAAGACAACAACCATGTGTTCCCTGTGTCCGTCTCTATGGCTTCGCAATGGAAAATCAGGATGGCTCGTAAAAGTCGAAAAGTCATCGGGGGGTGTGTGGAATGGGCAATGAGTTTAAACTGCCGAGTCGAGAAGCCAAAAAGTCGAGACTGGGACAGAGAAAGGCTGGGTCGGTTGGCCGCATCATCTCTGGCCTCGACTAGAGCCTGCTGATCCGTGCCGTTCATGGGTCGATGGCCGCCCATCCTTCAGCTTGAGCGAATCCAGCCGCTTCTGGTTGTCTTCGGCGGCGTCCTCCTCGTCTAGCTTGGTAAGCGAGGAGTTTGCTGCGCCGTTCATCTGTCGCCTCATGTCTGCTTGCTGCGTGAGTGCAGCCCACTTCATCTCTCGTTCAGCCTGTCTGGCCGCCGCGTTCTTCTGGTGTTCGGTATATTCGTGAGAACAGTCATCGAACAGCTGGGGGTTGATCTCCATGAACAGTTTCATAGCGTTGTAGACCATGCCGTGAATTGTCCTAGCACACACGAATATGAAGATTAGAATGGAAGAGTCTCAACAAGCATCACCAAGTGTATCGTATGCCAGAAAACCAATGTCTCACCTGTTCCAATGCCCCTTGGAGTTTTCGAAGAGCGGCGCAAACATAATCGGGAGGATAATCTCCACGTTGTCGCTAACCAGGTTGCAAAAGTACTCGTTATTCCAGAAATAGAGAGCACGTTCCGCGACTTGAAAATGGGGGCTAGCGACGGATTTGGCCAGTTGGTGGAAGAGGGGTTCTTGGACCTTGGCGAACTCGGCGGGATCCATCACCTCAAAGATGTCCTCGACCTCGTTGAGGAACATAACCTCTTTCGTGCTGTTGGTCTTTGGCCAGTAACGGAGCAAGCCGAGAACGACCTATCGTTGAGTGTGAGTAGAGAGAAAGGGGGGGGAGGAAAGAAAGAAAAGAACAGCAAAAGGGAAAGGAAAGCATGTGGGATTTGTCAAGTCCTTACCTCTTCCGTGAGGGACGCGTCCTTCTCAAGAAATTGGACAATGCAATACGCAAGTTGCGGGTGGTACATGCTCAAGCTCTTGACCTTGTGTAGGGGTATCAACACGCGGGTCAAGAAGGTCTTGTGCTCTTCCTTCAATGGGAGGGCGAAGCCGTTAATGATGGAGCCGAGAATCTCGAGAAGCTCGGCGATGCCATTGAAACGCTCCGTCTCATAAGTGAACTGGAAGAAGACGTTGTTGATGGAGCGGCGGATGAAAGACCGCAGATTGAGAAACTTGCCGTAAATGCGGTGGAGGGTGGTCTTGAGGAAATCCCTCTCCCGGGGATCCTCCGAGTCGAACAGCTCGAGCAGCGAGAGGACGAAACCGTGGTCGATGTAGGCCTTGGCTATATTGGTGTTGAAGTCCTGGCTCTCGATGAAGCGCAAGAAGAACTCGTAGACGACCTGGATATGGGGCCACGCAACCTCGAGCACAGGCTCGTCTTCCTCCGGGTCGAATGCCTCGCCTTGGGGGTTCATGGGTGGCGGGATGGGTCGGAACAGGTTCTTGGCGAACATCTCGACGACGCGAGGATACATCGGCTCCGTGATGACTTGGCGGTTGTTCGCGACGTAATCGAGGAGCTCGTGCAGGGCGAGTCGCTTGATCTCCTTGGATTTCATGTCGCCGCTGGCATCGTTGAAGTCGAAAATGACGTTGCACTGATCAATCTTTTGCATGAACAAGTCTTGCCTTCGGTTGGGGGGGACTTCGTGGAAACCGGGCAACTTCTCCAGCTCGCGGTGGGCGGAGATGTCAAAGCGAGACGAGTGTTGACGCTTCGGCGTTCTCAGGCCTTCGGGCACGTCCTTGGGCGTCTGGTGCAGTCGATCGAACATGAGCGACTTGGCACCGGCCTTGGGAGGCGCCAGGTCGTGGGGCATGGTCTCTGCGGCACCGGGAGGAGGGACATGCTATAGAAGAGAAACGGGGGGGAAGGGTCTGTCAGCGACAAGTTACTTGTAGGGGGAAATTTCGCTGGGGAATCATGTAATCATGTCTGTCGGTTTGCGACTTGGGGAATGCTTACAGGCGCACTAGGGCTAATTACGACGGTCGGAGGCAGAGTACCGTGTCGCACAGGCGTGTTACTCCCATTAGCAGGCTGTGGAAGGCCGCCAAAGCGGTCCTGGCCTGCATTTTGCTGGTTGGCTAGGTGGGAGGGCTGATTGGGTGCGCCATGGTCACCGCCCGTGGTGTTTGGGGGCAAAGGCTTATTGCGGATATCGTTGAGTGTGGACGTGGAGGATGTCGGGGTCAGAACAGGAGATTGGTTCGCGTCGCGGCCCGAGCCCGAGGATGACGGCGAGGCGGTTCCATCTTTGGAATCCTTATTCTTCTTTGGCTTGTTTGGATCCTTGCCGCGCGACAACTGGGCCTGGGAGGAAGGGAAGGGAACCTGTCAGTAAGTACAAAGGAGAAGAAGGGGGAAAGAAAATAACAAGATAAAAGACGAGTGCCGCATAGACTGCAACCAGCCCTGAAAAGGAAAAGGAAAAAAAGGGTTGAACACGTACCTTAACGCGTTGACTGAAACGGTTCATCTCGACGGCTACGGTAGACAGGTCCCTTGTCGTAAAGGGGCGCTGTTGGGAGACGTTTGTGGTGAGGAAGACTGATGACCGGAGAGTTGCAGTGGGGTAATGGAGGAATTGGATGCAGACAATCTACTGGTCGAGAGGCCGATTGAAGGGGTCCGAGAATGGGGCCCGTAAGAGGCAAGCTTCAGGGTAGCGCACAGCCGGTGGACGCGGGCGCCCAACGTCGGCCGGGATACAGTAATGCGAACGAAGCCCGGTCCGGATGAGAGAAAATCCAAAGGGGAGAAAATAGGGTTTCGAGTCGTCGCGGCGCGAGTTCAGTTGAGGCAAGTCGGAGAGAGTGATGATCAATATGGACCTCCTGTTAATGGGAATGCAGCAATAGACCAGGAAGCAGCGTTTTTTTGGGCCAGCGTGGGAGGAACAGGGGTGGCACGACACCGCCTCCTATGTATGTATCTCCTTCGTTGCTTCGTCTCTTGTGCGTCGATTGTTAGGACGTCGGGATAAACCAGGCACGTAAAAGGCCAAAGTTCCGTCTTGTATCGCGTATCGCGTCGAATTGACGTGGAAGGCGCTTGTCGTCCCGACTGTCTGGCGATGTCAGGGCTTGGGCAGGACCGATTGGGGGTAGTCGTGGAATCGTGGTGCACCAGAGCCAAGGGAACAACGAACAACCAGGGTCGAGACTCCTGAGATGGCTGCAGGTCAGCGGGCTCCGCGAAAAGACTAGATTAGATGCAGCACGGTGATGTGATGTTGGACAGGGAGAAAAGGCAGGAAAGGTATGAGGACGTCAAACGCGTAATGGATAGGAATATTGGCTCACAGTAGAGTAGAAGCTCTCCAGGCGTTATGTTGCGTTGCCGGTCAGTGCTCGGGCTGATGAGAGAAAGGTAATTAAGATGGGGGCTGAAATGGCTATGTTGCGGGGCCAAACCTGACCTAAGATGGGCGAACCAGTGTGGGTGTGACGAACGAAGGGAGGTGGTGAGGAGGACGAGGACGCAGTGATTCAGGGGGGATCTCGCTAAAGCTACAGGGAGCTTTCCAGTGTCAATGGCGGGTTGCACCAGTTCCTAAGGTGGCTGTAACTGGGCAAGAATGAGGTAAGCCAGCCAGCACAAACCATTTGAATTGGTCACGGGACTTGTAAGTCTCCGCAAATGAATCCACTTCCCAAACGAATCATGACTTCATGAGCCCCTACACAGTATGCCCTTATGGAATATACCACATAATATGACATTTCATACTACTCCTAACACGGTGTAACCTCTTATCCAATTGTCTCTCCTTAATTGTGCCGGCCCCGGAGCTGACCGAGCTGAGCTCGGTGAAGCATTCACGTGTACTCCATAATGTGTATCTTTCTCTCACCCACCTCGAAGCTGTGAACCTTCCAACGTATCCAAACTAACAGGAAACACTGCATCTTACTCACTTTTTACCACGCACAGGAACAGGCCCATTTGTCTATACTTTTTACGCCTTACAGTTCCTCAAGTCATCCCGCGCTCCAAGAGAAATACCGAGAACCTACGACATCAAAGCTCGAGTCCACATTCCAATCTTAGAATGTCTGCCAAGGGATGCACGATTGGAGCTCATATATAAAACTCCCTTTTGCGAGGTATCACTTTCTAGTCGTCGAACTGCATGGGTTTTTGAGGTCTGACGCAGAAGCAGCCACATTCCAAACTCCCAGCTTGCAAGCTTCCGGGGATAATGGAAGTTGAGGACGTTGTCGGCTCGGTGGTGGACAGCCTAGTCGTTGACGCGTCGAGATCAGCAGCTTCGGTCGACGCGGGACCAGGAGAGCCGTCGTTGCAAAGTTTTTCTGACGGCGATGCTGACGATACACCCGAGGATGTCGCCCCGATATACCCAATTGCCAAACGCATCATTGGGGCTGTCGAGGTGCCCATGATTGTAATGAACCTCGACCGGGCGGAAAAGGCCTTTGGCAATATCTCCACCTTTGGCAACGTAGGTTAGGCCCCAAAGAAAAACAACCCCTCGGGATGCTACCTTGGTCGTGGTGCCTCTTCAGCTTACACCATGCAGGTCCTCGATTTGGATCGGCTCTCCATCCCGTTCTACCTCAACCCAGAAAGTCCCTTCCGGAGACCTATACTCTCCCACCAGGCTGCAACCCACAACATTGTGCTCAAGGTCACGGTGCCGAAGCGCACGGGCAGGAAGCGGAAGAAGGGCTCGAACGGGCCCTTTGAGGGCGATGTCGAGGCGCCGAATCCGGATGCACCTGCGCCTCCACAGCGAGGACACAATGTGTGCTCCAAGTCGAGACTCGACAACCCCCGGGTTCTCAGGCGGAAGTTGCAGGACAATGTCGACAACTATCGGGTCGAGGCTGTCGGAGTCGTGAAGGGCACTCACCGCTTTCGATGTACGAATCTATCTCCCTGCAGTCCGAGGCAACTGTCGGTTCGCCATGTTGACTAACATTGTCGTCTTAGCCTTGGCCGATTATCAATGGGATATGGACCAGTCCCCATTTATCACGAGATTCAGGGAACAGGTCTTGTCAGGAGATAGTAAGTTGGCCCTCTCTCGTCGGAATTTCTTTTTTTATTTCTTTTTCTTTTCTTTTTCTTTCTTTTTCTTTTTTTCTTCTTCTTTTTTTTTGCCTCTCCTTGTTCAAAATCCTTCCAAGACAAACGGGATCAATTGACAATGATTCTAGTCACCAAGATGCGGGAATTCAGGTTTCGAGAGGGAACGGATTTTGGGCCCAACGTCGATCTGATCCCGCCGCCGGCATGGACACCAACGGTGAGCCTCCCGTTCAACTACGGCTATGCGCAGAACCCCTACGTACGGCCCGAGCTAGATCACACGGGCAAGGAGACGCTTGTCAACACCCAAATGCCCACCCTGGTCGGCTACTTTCTCAGCGCCGACCAGTATCCCATCCCGGAAGCGCCCCAGTTCGAGTACGACGGGGACGACGAGGACGTGAGGGCCTGCATTGCCACGGCTCGCAAGCTGATGGAGGAACGGCCCATCTGGACGCGGCGGTCCCTGCTCAACGCGCTCGGGGACCGGGTGCGGAACGCCCACATCATGAAGCGCTGCACGGGATTCGTGGGGTACCAGTTTCGCGGGGGGCCGTTCCGCGACGCCGTCATCAAGTATGGCTTCGACCCTCGCAGCGACCCTTCGTGCCGCAAGTACCAGACGCTCCTCTTCAACCTGCGTAAGCTGAGGCCCGGGTACGCGGGGGAGACGTGGCACGGCCTGCGGAGCATGAGGGCGGACCAGAGGCAGCCCATGGGGGAGAACTTCATGAGCCACATCTTCGACGGCAAGTCGTTCTGGACCGACAGCAAGATCTGGCAGATCTGCGACATCACGGACCCGGTGGTGGTCAGGATCGTGGAGCAGGCGCCGGTGCGGTCGACGTGCGACTTTCTGGGGAGCGGCTGGTTCCACACCACGACGTGGGCCAAGCTCAAAGCGGTGATGAAGACCAAGATGATGGCGATCCAGTTCGGGCGCAAGCTGGCGGACGAGGATTTCGCCGAGATCGTCCAAGTCAGGGACAAGACGCCCGAGCCGGGGGCCGGGGCCACGAGGTTGCCGGTGCCGGATCTCAAGCTCACCGAGGACGAGATGCGCGTCATGTACGGCAAGAACTGGAAGGTGCCCAAGAAGAAGAAGAAGGGCGGGTTCGACTACCGGGTCAAGGGCGTCAAGGCGGACAGCGTGGCGGCAGCTGACACGGAGGATGCGAGCGAGTCGATGGAGGGGTCGGAGACGCCTCGAAGTTCGAACCCCAACCGGTATATGCCTGTCCAGGCCGATCTCCGCCCACTCGGCAGAGGGGATGGCGCCCGGAATGGGGGCCAACAGGCCAGTGGGCCTCGTTTTTTTATGGGATCCGACAAGGCCGGTCTGGAAGGGATAGACGAGGGAATCGATGAAGCGGACGACGACGACGACGACGACGACGACGACGACGACGAAGCTGTGGATGAAGAAGAGGCGGACATCATGGCACAGATATCTGGATTGGGAGACAAGACTCTTGGGTCCTTTCATCGGCTGTTCGGTGAACCTGATGCAAGTGCTGGGAACGATCTTTCTGTTGCCGAAGTAGCTGGGGGCGAATATGAGGAGTACGACGAGGATGAAGGGGGTGACGAGGTCGAATATTACGACGAGGATGCTCAGCACGAGAGAGAGAACGGAGAGGGTTATGGCGACGAGGACGGGGAATACTACGAAGACGGAGAGGGGGAGTACGGTGAGGCCGCCGATGTGAAGACGAGATCACGAGGGATACTAGGTATTCGGAGACCAGGCGATGTTTGCCTGGGGCGTGACTAGAACGATGACGATGGATCATAGGAGTCAAGGATAGGACCACAGGCCGACCATAACGCCAAAGCTGCCCACGCTGACCAGCTCCATGTCGGTGCCGACATGGACGCCCGGCGAAGTTATACCCGATGGCAAGTACGACCGCGAAGACGAACACCGCATCTCATTCTCACCCAGCCTAGATATCACGGGGCGGTATTTGTGAGCGTTTTAATGGGTCGTCGGTGGTTTCTGCAGAGAGATCAGCCTTTCTGCCGGCTGATATATATCTATAAGTCAGACCATGAACAATGATTTCTCTATGCCCCCATTGGAGCTTTCGATGCATGTGTCCACCGGCATGCCAGGTCGTAACATATCTTCTCTTTGAGGCTCCTTGATATGATAGACACGGACACTGCCGGCCCCATCTCCGACATAAAAGAGGCTCCCATCCGCCGAAAAACACAGCTCGGTGATCTGGTGCGCACCCTTGGACTGCTCGGACGACCCCCCGGAGACTCTGGAAAGGACGGACGACCCGTCGCTGGAATGGATCGACTCTTCTTCCTTGCCCACGTGCAACCAGCACAGTTCCCGCCCCGTCATGGCGTCCAGGATAGCCACGCCGGCCTTGTGGTCGCAGCAGTAGGCGACGAACCGACAGTCGGGGGACACGCAGGCGACGGCGTCGGGAATGGCGTAGGTCCAGGCGGTGTTGGCGGAAAAGTCCCACAAGAGAACGTGCCTGGCCGTAACGGGGGCCGGTTCCAGCCTCGAGCCGCCGCCCGTTTTGCCCTTCCCTTCGACCAGGCGATACGCGGCCGGGATCCAGATGGATACGGCGACGCTCCCATACGTGACGAGGCAAAACGGGAGGGCCATGGCGAGGTCTGCGTGGGCCGCCGGCATGATGAACTTGTACGGCTTGTGCGAGGGGCTGGCGACGTCGTCTACCTCCCAGGCGATGAGCATCGGGCCGTGCTCGGGGGGCGGGTGACCCGGTCTCGGGGTCCGGGGTCCGGCGGCGGCGATGAGCAGGGGTCCCGTGGCAGAGTAGGCCAGCTCGGGACACTTGGGGACGTGCGGCAGGCCGGTGAGGCGGAGGTCGATGGTCCGGGGCTTATCGAACGGCTTGTCGAACGGTTTGTCGGCGCGGGCTTGCCTCAGGGGATACAGGTCGATGGTGTCGCGGTCTTCTCGGTACGTGGCCAGGGACGGCCAGTTGGCTTGGAAGATGTCGCCGCGGGCGGAGGCCCAGCGGTAGGCGTCGTCGATGGTCTGGAGTTTCTTCGACTTGGACCAGTTCCAGATCTCAAGGGTATGGCCGAAGGCGGTGGCGATGGCGATGAGGGCTGCCGTTTCGGAGAGAATAGCATGGCTCCGGACAAAGTAGTCTCTCGATCGGGGCTGGGTCTGGACATAGAAGCGGACTTTGATGGTGCTCGCTAAGGTTTCTTGCGGCACGTCCCAGAGCCTGATCATGTGGTTGCCTTGCTTGCTGGCTAGAATGGTCGAAGAGGGGGAGACGTCAATGTAGGAGATGCTGCCGCGATCCTTGTTGTTGTGGGAGAGCCGCTTCGAGGGGACCACGTCGATGCGTGGCGTGACCTGAGTCTGAGGCTGGGCCTGGGCCTGGGTCGGAGGCAGGGGCCTAGGTTCAAGTCCAGGTTCAACATGGGGAATGGTGATGGGCGAGGCTAAGGATTCAGCCAGCGATCCGAGGGTAAGAGGGGTGAGCCGGCTCTCGCGGGAAGATGCGGTCCATGATTCCCCTCCAGGAGATGCCGCGGACACCAATGTCCCGGTGCCGCGCGGTGCTCTCGATGTCCAATGATCAGGGGTCGACGAGATTGTCGGAGAGGTGGGTGATGTGTCGATGGTACCCTTGGAAGGCAATCGTGGTCGGGGGACAGGTGGCAGGGGTTTCGTCGGTGGCGGATGCAGAGTTGTATTGGAGATGATGGTGGAATGAGACTTGGATGGGCGACTCTCCTTCAACGCTCTCGACTCTTTGAGCTCTCTCCTAGCTATCGAATGAGTGGATGGTCGATTTGCAGATTCCTGTCGATTGCCTGGGGTACGCCGTACAGTTGGGCGTGTGCTTACATCTCGCAAGGCGTCGTGGTAATCGCTCAACTCTTGTAGGGCATGAATGTTTCGGCTAGGTCTTGTGGCCTCGCTATGCATGTTGCTGTTCATCTCTCCGGAGTTCTCTTGCACAGGCAATGGGGAATGTGGTGGGATGAACACATCTTGATCATCGTCGGTGAACCAGGACATGGACATCGTTCGTCCGAGTAAGTCATGGGTCAGGAATCAGGATCTCGGGGCCAGGGCTAACGGAGAGCCGGATAACTGCCTCTACAAATGAAGCCGAGGTTGCGGTAGCGGGCTCTCCTAGGGCAGGCGACTGGGGTTCCGGTGCTCAGAGCTTGGATTCATGTGAACGATGAATGGCGGAGACGCGACGAGGTTGCTGGTTCCGAATAACCGGAAGAGGCCCATAAGTATCCGTAGGTTGTCCTAGGGGGTAAGGCGAACCGTGAAGAAACCCAACCCATCTTTGTCCTTAAGGGACTAGAAGAGTAAACAGTCGAAAATCTAATGGGATGGGACGAGGAACGAGGATGGAGGATGGAGGATGGAGGATGGGAGGGGTCAAGGGTCTAGTGTTCAGGTACTCACGTCGAGGAAGAGCGACGGTGATACTTCATGTTGGTACAAGGGTTGTTAAGACGTCCCATGGGGAAGGGAAATTCACGGGCAGTTCTCTTACAGTGGGGTTGATGTTCTCGATCCGGCCATTTACAACGTTGACTACGCCTCTGCGTGACCCAAATAGGGAATCGATTGGCGTGTTTGTGGCTTACTTCCCTGTTTGTTCTCCGCAACCCATGGTTACCCCTGTGATGCCTGAACGCTACGCCATCGCCACGGGGAAATTGTGCTTCGTATATGTACATACGAAGTGCATACCTACCACGTAGGTTGGTACCTAACTCGCCTCTTCCCGCAGTTGACGACTGCCCTGTATTTCCCTATAGGGGCTTCCCAGACCCTCGGAATGCGGCAATGGCCTGCACTACTCCGTATGTTGCTCTGTCATGGGAAACGCCCCTATCCGCTTTGTGCAACAGGAGTTGTCGATGGATCAACTTAAAAAGTTGGACCCGCATACTTCATTCGTTGCCCCATTCTGCTGGGGTGTTCTTTTCGGTCCGACAACGATAACTACCACGCCACAAGACACAGTAGGACCGGGATTCACACTTCAAAAAGGCAAGGGGCCGCACCTACCTAATCTGTGGTAGGTGGTCTAATTATCCATATTTCGTTCAATTCATAAGCGTTGTTTGGCGCTCGGATGCTTGTTCGGAAAGGCTTTTTGCTACTGGTGTCTCGAGGGACAAGAAGCATGGCAATCTCCGTGTTCGTCAGGTAAAGGACCAGGTTAGGTGTCTTAGAGAAAACGAAATGACACCGAGGGAATCGCTCAGAAGCGTGAATGTAAAGGCGGGCTTGCCAATTTAGTAAAATTTGAATGAAATATGAACCGGAACGGCGTGGCCGCAAGACCAAAGAAAGAATGACACTCGTGACCCAGCATCGGAGCATCGCTTAGACGTATGTAATCGCCGAGTTGATTTTCCCGGACGGCCCCGCTTCAGGCCGGCCCGGTGCACCGGTGCTCTCGAGAATGTCGGAGCCGACGACAGCTCCACCCTTGTACCATCCATCGGCCCGCATGACATGCCCCGACTCGAACATCATAGCTAAAATGATTATAAGACATGACTTTACCCTGATAAGTAGCACATACTAGTGGTATATATGTAGGCAAACACAATTATATCATATAATAGATTTCCTTTCGATATGACGTGGTATTCAAAGTTGGAAATTGGAATGCTAGTCGGATCGGCGTCAGCTAATGTCACCAGGCTTCGAACTCGACTGACAGAGATGGGACGCCCTGAAAGCCCTTACGCATGACATAGATTAAGTTCCAAAACTCGAATGTTCCGCAATGGCGAATCGGTGCCACCTCTTGCCCCCACGAAGGACAAGTTGTGGGATGGGTCAGCATTCCCAGATATGGTGATATCGATGCCTGGTATATCCTCGAGGGCCGAAATAGTCGACCTCTTCGACAATGTAGATACCAAAAAAGTGAAGATTGACGACTCATTGCCCTTTGAACCTTCGCTCCCCGCCGAACTCCTTGAGCTTGTCAAAAAACCCGTCAGGGAGGAGGGTCGCGTGGTATCTTGCGAGAATGGCAATCAACGGGCCCCAGGCATAATCCGCAGCGTGGGACATGATTTGGGGCTAAACGAGCTTTGTCAGTACCGTAATTACGGGAAGAAATGGTGATAAAGGAAACGAAGTCACTTACCCGCGAGATGACCGACGAGTTCTCCTTGTCAATAAACGCCTGTGTAGGTCCCGCTGTTAAATTCGGATAAGGTGTCGGTCACTGCAAACAGGTCGATGATTTCCTGGGCGTAGTTCTCCCCCGCGACAGTCATGTTTTCGTCGTTAATACGGCGGCCCATCCAGCCAGAGACGAAGGCTCGCATGATGGACTGATAAAGGCTCACTTTAGTTTGGTTTTCCCGCCTCCTACTCCGATCCATGGGATGCCTCTTAACGCACGGAAGGAAAGGTCAAGGACGACTCACCGGGTTGCTGTACGCGGGATATAAGTTGTCACCACCGATTCCGCCCACTCTGTACGTATCGTCAACTGTTGCGTTACAGACCGGTTGCATGATCAGCCCTGACGTTGTGTTTGATATGAGGTGCTGGAACTCCTCCATCATCGTCACAAACGTCGTGCCTACGAACCCTCTCCAGTTCGGGGCCAAATGCGTACCAAATCGAGCTTCGGGAATTGTGGCGCAGGGCGGATTCGCGACCCAGGTCGTAGAAATACCCGACATCGCGGTCGTAGTAAATGTCCATCCATACCATAGACTCATTGAACAGTTCTTGGGCGTTGGATGAGAGACTCGAGACATATGAGGCCGCAGCCAGTGGCAGCTTCAGGAGAGCGAGGAAGATGACGACCTTCATCATGACTGAGACAAGTAAAACAGCGGCGCAGGTAATGAGCGTCAGGGGTGGTTTGAACTATAGTCTATGGGAACATCTACGCAACGCTTGCCTTATAAGAAGAGGAGGGCAGGAGGGGGAATTCTATCCATGGCAGCGAGCGAGCACGCGCATGCTGTGACATCTGCCGCGGGCTATGTCAATGCCAAACAGTCCGAATCTGGTTGAGCACGCTGATGAGACTCATAAATCAAGAGACCTTGATCCGTGCACCGTATGATCAGGGTTAGATAGGCATGCGTTTCCAAGCCATGTATGAATGACGCTCTTAATCGCGGTTCATGTTTGAGGAGAAAGCCGGGTCGAGTTCATCCTTGATACTCCGCTTCATCATAACAAACAAAACCGCGGGCAAGGTAGATGATCATCGCTGGGCCTTTGTAAAAAGTGAAATGCATTGGCTGTTCCCACCTTGTCGTCCATCCTTCCGAATAGGGGGAGTAAGGGGCCTAAGGGCTAAGAGGCTAAGAGCTGTACGTTGGCCGATCCTGTCAGTTACCCCAACTGGACAACACGAGTGGTACGTGGACTGCCTAACGTCAGATCAATGTCTGCTAGCCGTCTGCCAGTTCTCAGAGCTTCGATCAAGACATCATCGAGATTTGCGATTCCATTGTCCATGTCCACTCGGTGTCTGGGAAATGTCCCCTGTGTGTTGGGGAGCAGAGCTAGCCATCAGGCTGCTGGACAAGGCAGGACAGGCAGGGTAGGGCGCGGTTGTCGAGAAGTGTCGTCAGTTCTTGATAGTTCATAAGCCAACAGAATAAGACCCTGGGTGTGTAAAAGTCGCACCAGAGGACAATACATCGAACTGAGGATAGTCCGATACCTGTAATCTTATCAATCTTATCAATCTTATCGCAAAGTTTATCACCACGTGACTTCGTGGTTAGGCAGCGCAATCGTCCTCCGCGAGTTCCTCGAGTCAGCGGTTCAACGGTGACGCCAATTCAAGACCCATTCTTGCCTCCTCGGGCTTTGAAATGAGACATCACTTTTCTCTCCACCATGGCATCTATTCTCTCATTCGACAGTTATGATGAGGACTACGACATTACTCTAGAAGAAGAGACTCTGTTAAGTTCACTCGTCACCGATCTTCCTCCTATGCCGTCTCTTCCAGTTCAAGAGCTTCCCGTCGCGACATCTTCCAAAGGTGGTGCGAAAATTGCTCCCAAGGATCATTACCATGTCTCTCCACGTTTCCCCGCGTCGAATCATCTGGCAAACAAGGTCGTTTCTTCAGTTGTGCAGGGCAAAGGGACAGGCTTCCCGGCACAGAGCCCAGTCCAACCGAAGACCATCTCGGCGATCGTTCCACACGGCGACGGAGTTGTCAGCTATCCCGATTGTAAGACCGCTGGGCCTCGGCAGGTGAAGTGTTCTGTCGTGAAGGCTGACTGACCTGGAAGCGTCTAGTGAGTAAGGCACTACCCAAAGCCGAGACGTCCGAGTCTGCCAAGGAGGACCAACTTGTCGCATCCAGGTCTACCGACGACACGCGATCGCCACTTGTCCGATTCCGGACCTTTCCCAAAAAGCCCTTCTCCGTGAGCGACCTTACGGCCGGATCGTGGTGCGAACTTCAGTACTGGTATACCCTCACAAGATTGCCCTACGGGAGGAAAACCCGAACACGTGCCATGAAAGAGGGGACCAGAGTACACAAGGACTTAGAAGACGAAGTGCATACCACGGTTCGCATTGAGATCGCCAGCAAAACAGACGCCTTCGGGCTGAGGCTCTGGAACATTGTCCAAGGCCTCAGAACTCTGCGCGACACCGGCCTGACGCGCGAACTGGAAGTCTGGGGGTTTGTCGACGGGAACGTCGTCAACGGCATCATCGACGGGCTCAGTTCCATCCACCCCGATCCGGAATTCGAGAGAGAGCTGCGTCGGAGCCGAGAACTGCAGCCCAACATGGCCGACTACTTTCCTCCCAGGAAAACAGGGAACGAGGAGATCCCCCAGGTGTACCTGACCGATGTCAAGACGAGGGGCAAGCGCACAACGGCCAATGCGGCGTCGCTCCGGCCCGCCAAGGTGCAGCTGTTCCTGTACCACCGGTTCTTATCGGATATGGCGGCAGACAAGCTGGACTATCTGCGTGTCTTCCGGCGATACAATCTTGATCCCGACGAGCCCTTCTCGGATTCCTTCCTTGCGCAGATGGCGAACCTGCACGACGAAGAGTTCTTCGACGCCTCGGAGACAGAGACAGACGTAGACACAGACGGAAGCTTTGCCGCTGCGCCGCCTTTGTCTGGTGCAAGCGACTCCTCGCAATCTACACCCACGCAGCAGCAGCAACCATCGTCAAGCGACCGGTTCAACAGCCAACCTAGTTGGTCTCCCAGACCGCCAGATCTGGTCAAATACCGCACCCTACGAGAACTCGTGCCCCTCCTCGTCTCCGAGCTGCGCCAAACCTTCCCTCACGGCCCCGACTCGGTCGGTCGCCTCCTCTCTGTCGAGTACCGCTACCAGCTGGACGGTTCTCTCATCGACACCCGCATCTTCCCTATGGATGACCGCGCCTTGGATGTCTACCTCGAGCACACCATGGCGTGGTGGCAAGGAAAACGGGACCCACGCGGCGTGCAAATCGAGGATGCGTGGAAGTGTTTCGTGTGCGAGTTCGCTGAGAGTTGTGTTTGGCGTAGGGAGATGGATGAGGATCGACTACAGAGTGCGAGGCGGCGCCTGGAGGTGAAGCGGGAGAGTGGTAACAGTTGATTGGCGCCTCTCTACGTTTCTTTCCCCTTTTCTTCCCTTTTCTTCCCTTTTCTTGGCATTATTTTTATTTTAAACTTATTTCCTTCCTGGTATATACCCCCACGGGATTTGAGTTGGAACTCAATGATTGTTGTATGACGGGACGGGCCTCGGATGATAGATGAATACATGATATCATGATCTTCCCAATTTTATGGACGTAGAGATCTCGCATATGCCCCTGAGGAGGGAGGGTGACTGGGCCGTGAGGCGTCGCTCACGTTCTCCAACGAGGGGAGACGGAGCATTGCCGACAAGGTCCCCCCAGTGTAGCCACCTCTTGTAGGGAGAATGCCCATGGTCTGACATCGATTTCCCCTCGCTGACATTCATTCTTGACCCCTCCGACGAAAAGGCGGTCAGGAATCGAAATGGCTTCCGACATGGTGTTCAACGGCCGCGGCATCGCCTTCGAAGACGCCGCATACGGGACAAGTGGCCGTCGCTTCGTTGGTCGCCAGAGACTGGGCAGATGCAGCAGCAGAAACAGCAGATGCAGTAGTGTTATCTCCAGGGACGGTGCAGCCATCCCGATGCGCGTCGCCACCCCGTCCCTTCTTCGTCTTGGCGGGCCGAATGTACGCATCCAGTCCGAATGTCTGAGGCGGGGGTTCAAGCGCTTCGTGCTGCTCACGAACATCGCGATATCGCGGCCTCGGTCCTCTTCCCCGACCGTCGCGTCCCGCCCATCGACTTTGGTCTTGGTCAAGAGCGCGAGTGTCGTCGCCGGTTTGGTCACGTGGCTGCTGATCCTGGAGGTCCTGCTGGTCGTGCCGGTTGTCGTCGTCCCTGGCGGCACTGGTTGCGCTCCCGGCTAAGGACTGTACCCTCCCAACCCGGCCATCGGTGAGGCGGACCTTGATGCCTCGCGGATGGTTGCCACGGGTGAGGATGTCCTGCACGACGCCCGAGACGGTTCGGCCTGTGGGCTGGTCGGCTTTGAGGACGATATTGACGGACGCGCCGCGGATGACGACGGCGGTCGTGGGGACTCGGCTCATGAGAGTATGGTGTTTGATGGACGCAAGTACGATAGCATTTTATACTAATATATTCTTATCCCACGGGCTCGGCGCATAGTGTTGAGCCGGAGGTGACCGGAGGTGGCCGGAGTGTGAAGAGGAAATCTCTCACAACAGTGTGTGCGTTCTGTAGGTATTATGGACTGAAAGTACTTCGTGTGTACCTATCTAAGGTGGGGGCTGTTACTCCAAGGGCTTGGGTTAATTATGCCCATTACATATGTACCTAGCGTTATTGTACCCGCTTTACCTCCCTTGCCCCTTAACGATAGGTCGGGTAGTAGCCCAGGAAGAAAGTACCTAGGCTACCACATAAGGTTAGGTACCCATCTGAGCGTCTCCTGAACTCACGCTACCTTACGTTGTAAGGCCCCGCTCCACCTTAAGGTAGGTACCTACCTTAGGCAGCACCGTAAACACCGCACGGGCCTCGACATCAGGTTCTATTTTTGGTGATCGTTCGCGGTTGCGGCTTGATCGACCGCCCAGGCATCACCCATCAACCCCGTCACGAACCAGTGATATCCGTAGGTATGTCCCTTAATGACGATATTCAAACATCCAAAGCATCTTGAAACTTCGTATTCGCAGCCACGGGGTTGACGATGGCGCCGATTGACCCTCCGGCTTCATGATCTCGACCATCCATTCGGTTTCAGTTTCCTCTCCCCTGGAAGGGCATCAGCCTCTGATCTTCCAATGAGGAGGCAAGCATTGCATTCCGCATGCCTTCAGCCCTACTTCTGACCTGCAGTCCTTCCTTCCCAATCCCGTCGACGGCCCGGAACAAAACTGTGATTCGAACACGCTTGAAGCATCTTATCTCGTTTACGCTCGAGCCTGCATCGTAGAGGCCTTCTCGATCTAATCGCTCGGGGTGGAAAGGACATTTCTAGGGTCCCCTGTCGTTGTCGTGGGAACTTTGTGGCTTCAACTCTAGGCAACCAGCAAAGAAATGTATTAATTGCCCACAGAAGAACCATCACAAACCATCACCAACCATCACCAACCATCAGGCTCTTCTCTCCTCTCTCCTCTTTGTCCACAAGGCTCTCTGGTCTCCGAGAAAGACGCTGATCTGAGTAGTGGTCACGCTGCCGAAGGCCGTTGAAATTCACAACTCTTACTCTAAATCACCTCACCACCACAACCACAGCCACAACCACGCAGCAAAACATCTCACGGTCGTCTTGTTATTGCACCCCGCCTCATTCCTCCCTGATTCCTCAGTCCCCTATCTACCGGGCCGTATGATGGCCGTCTTCAACTCAGCTCCCATCCTACATTCCTCCGTGCCAGCAGCACCGCAGGCATCACCCAAGGTCCACCATCCCCACCACCATCAACAACAACAACAACAACCACCACCAGACCAAGAACAACACATACTCTCGAAACCGCCCCCGCCAACCACACCCTCCCCCCAGGGACAAAAGGAAAACTCAACCCTCATGTCTCTCCCCACCGAAATCCACCTCCTCATCTCCCGCCACCTGACCTACCCGGACGCCCTCTCCCTCAAACACGCCAACCGGCACTTCTACCGAATCGTCGACACGGGCGTGAGCCTCAAGGTAGCCTGGCTAATGGAACGCCGCCTCCTCCACCTCGAGTGCCCCAACGACCGCTGCTGCGACCTGGGCAGCGACCTCAAGTTCTGCCGCGGCAGCGTGCCCCTCCTCATGCGCCGCCGCCGCGAGCACTTCGAGTGCGAATCCCGCCCCGGCCTCGGCTGCCTCGTCCTCGGCACTGCCTCCTGCGAGCATAGTCGCCGCCGCCGCGCCCAGGAAGAGGAGGAGAGGGCCCTGCGGCGGCGTCGCCGTCTTCGTCCCTGGGGTCTGCTCTTCTCGCTGTTCTTCTCGCCCCTCTTCCTTGCCCCTTCGTCTTCTTCCTTCTTTGCTCTCCCTCCGCCTGCGTTTGGGGACCGCATTTCCTTCGGCCCCGGTCTCCGCCGGGCAGTTTTCTCTGGCTGGGAATTGTGGCGTGTACTGCTTGTGGCTCTCTTTATCCCGATTGTCCTGGCATGTGTGTTTTTTTCGCTGTCGTGGCTTTTGTAGACTTGACGCTTCGACGAATTGACGATGTTTGCCTGTTCGAATAATGAATGTATTGTATTGTAGCATATTCGCGATTCGGGGCGGGCGAGACAGTTTTCTCTCCTGTATTATCATTTTTCTGTTATTAATGGCGAATAATATTTAATCAAGGGCTAGCAAAAGTTTACGCAGGCCGCATCCAC